TCGAAAACCATATAAAGGACATTGCAAAAGTCATATCTTACGTATCTTAAGAGATGCCCTTTTAGTCTACCAAATTTATGTTTTTTTTGTTAAATTGCCTTATACATGTATTACCAAATTCGGTAGCCCTTTTAAAAGAAATGCCCGGCACCACATGGAAAATACATTTCTTTAATTGATGTTTGTCAAATTCGATTTCCGCACATTTCGCGTACATAACCACGATATAATGGTCGAACATTACGTACATCAGATAAACTATTTTTAAAGCCCAAAACTGTTCAACTAGTCTCTTTTGGTTATCAAGCACCTGTTTTATGGGATAATCTACCATTTAGTTTAAGATGTTGTACATCTCTATATTCTTTTAAAAAAACAACTTAAATCACATTTATTTCATGAGGCTTTTAACTGACTCTGTATACAATTGTTAACATGTCCATAATCTTGTTGTTTATTTATGATTACATTGTCACTTTGTAAAGTGCCCCTGAACATGTTTTATGAAAGGGCGCGCTATAAATATGCTGTAATAATAATAAGAATAATATTACCAAATTTTGCGGCCATTATGAAAGAAACGCCCGGCACCATATAACAAATACTTCTTTTTTTTAATTTGACGTTTGTCAAATTCGATTTTTCGGCACATTTCGCTTTCATAACCACTCTGTGTATGAGGAATTTAAAAAGAAATCATTTACAATCCAACGAGTAAATAGTAAAACACACTGATTACGAGATATCGCTCTCAGAAAATTCCCCGATTTTGGGTATGATTTTGTTTGATATATTTATCACTGAACCAAACTGCATTGGTTTCTTTTGCATTTTTTTTTAGGGTAAAACGTTATATTATCCCTCAACGTCTAATACTGCAAGAAAAAAACAAAATTTGGTATGTAAACCTGTATGAAGCCATGACGTCATAGCTTTTATGGCGTCATCATTGGGACCCAAAATGAGTTGTCGTAACTTTCCCACAGTCTACTCACTCATGTGCTCATCGTTGTATACCAACTAACGTTGAAAAAATCAATTTACGTCGATTTTTGAACATTTTAAAAGCCGTAGTTCGATTCGGCGCCCAAGAAAAGATATAAATATACACCAAAAACATGGCAATCAATCAAGTTGAAGCGTTTTGGCGTAAAACATCTGTTTAGGCGAGATGACGTGTTTTTGGTGTACATGAGTAAGCAATAATGCTACCTGACTAAAATACCCCCCCCCCCCGCCTTTTGCATTCGCATGTAGTCATACATATGAGTCTCAAAATAATATAATATATTGTTAAATTATGCTCTTTTCAACTCCCCCGCCCCCGCCGCCGCCCCCTGCTCAATGAGTTATTTTACTTTTATTCTGCCATCTAAATAACTCTATACCCATGACTGGTGTACCAAGTTAAATCCACATCAAAACCCCATTTGTCGATAAGTGTATTTATAATAATCACTTGAACATCCTTGGAGAATTATATCTATTTAGTGAATATTAATACCAAAGAAAGAAAACAACTCTAAATTCTGAATATAAAGTCATCAAATTCTTTTACAGATCTTATTGTGGAAACCCAAAAGTTATATTGCCTTTTTAATCACATTTTTGTTTTTAATGTCAAATACCAAACCATCTCTAATATTGTTTCATTATATAGAATGCAGTGTAATCCTAAACACTAAAGATTTGGCCTGAAAACTTGAAATAATATAGAGGGATCATCAATAATTAATAGTAACATTCGATAATTATAAAAATGTATTATTGTAGGATGAAATCAACCTTTATTTTTAAACATTTAGTGAACATTTCGGATGTTAATGCCTCTTTTATATAAAATGGTTTTATTAATTAATCAATTTTTGTTTTACAAATTTTTAATTTTCTCCATTTTGTTTGATTTTTATGCTATATTTATTTTATCTATCTATAATTATTTGCCTGTGCTTTATCTATTAGTTCCCATTTATATACTGTAGAAAATTTTGAATTCCTAATCTGTTAAAGGGACTATTTTTTCTTAAAAGTATTTCAATTGAGTGCATCATTAATGTCTTTAGTGCTTGGTTTGGTTGATATTAAATTTAGATATATTTAAAATGTATGTTTTGGGACCATGGGGTAGGGATATTGTGAACATATATATTATATTCTCAGTTCTTTTTAAGGTTAATTGTAAAAAAAAATTAAATAGCTTTTTTTGAGGGGTGGGGGGATATTGTTACTATTGAACACAATTTTATTAGTATTGAAATTAACTTTGTTGATTAATATTCCAAATGTCTCGGTGCTTTATTTTTCAATTTAAATAGCTACTTTTTATTTAATAATTGGGAATGGGGGGGGGGGGTATTTTTTCATTGTATAACACAATTTTATTAGTATTGGAATTAACTTTGTTTATTAACCTTCGAGATGTCTGTATTGGTATTAATTAGGCATTAATTTATTTTTTCATATCATTTATTGAATAAATAATAATTTAACAAACAAAATTATTATGTCATTTATCAATAATTACAGCTTAAACAGAACGAATGGAAGGGGTTGCATTCGAAAGGTTGCTATACTGGATATAAATTGGTAAAATACAACACAAGTTTTTGTTATACACAAGTTTGTACGAAACAACACGAGTTTCAGAAATTTCAACACAAGTTTCAGAAATTTCAACACAAACAAGTTTCAGAAATTTCAACACAAATAATGTGTAGATTTTCACACAAGTTTTGTGTTGTTTCAACATTTAACACAAGTTTTGTGTTGTTTCAACATTTAACACAAGTTTTGTGTTGTTTCAACATTTAACACAAGTTTTGTGTTGTTTCAACATTTAACACAAGTTTTGTGTTGTTTCAACATTTAACACAAGATTGTGTTGTTAAATAGAGACACCTAACTTGTGTTGAAAATAACACAAGTTTGTGTTGTTTCAACACAAGTTTTTTTCAGTGTATGTGCTACAATCGCTTGTCTCTGTGTGTAAAATGTATTATGTTTGTGTATTTTATTATTTTTTTTTTTTTTCGATTTTACAAATTGTGTTTGTAAAGCGCCACTGAGCAACACTTGTGTTGAATATTCGGCGCTATATAAATGATAGATTATTATTATTATTATTAAATTCAAGAAAACTTGTTGGATGCTACTATATGTTTAAAATAAAGAAATAAATAACCCCGGTGTTCACACCATAGCTACTTATATCAAGAAAGTCACCCAGCAAAATATTGAATCCATGTCGTTAGTTTATAATAAATGAAGAGTCCAGGGAAGAACGATCAAAGTCACATTTTTGTCTTTTGGCATAAAAGGCAAAACAGACTTTTGGACGAGAATGCTTGACGCGAACAGAAAAACGAGTGGGTTTAATTATAACTTCAAACTGTTGTTTAATACGAATCATAATTACCAGTACAACAACAGACTTCCACTTTTCGGCCAAATTAATGATAAATATGTCAGACAAAATCATACCCAAAATAGGTCGAATTCGGCAAAAGCAAAATGACGTAATTAACTTAATTCAACACGGCGTTCTTCAGGAATTATCGGTGTCTTCCAGTGGTGGGAGGATAAATAATTTCTTTTTAAATTCCTCAAATACAGAATGGTTATGCAAGCGAGATGTGCCGAAAAATCGAATTTGACAAACATCATTTGGTCGGGCGCATTTCTTTCAAAATGACTTCCAAATTTGGTAATATAATACCATTTAAAACCCCCCATAAATTTGGTAATAAAAGGGCAGCGATAAACTCTTAAGATGTGACTTATGCCATGTCGTTTATCATAGGCGTACGGGGTAATTTTTTGACGGGGGGGGGGGCGGTGATGGTTGGTGCCCCAAAAATGTAGTTAGGTTCTTAGTATGTTACGTAATATAATAATATCTCTTTTGCGATGAATAAGTTCTTAATTTCTAAATCATCAATATAAGAGAATTAAATTTTATTTACTTGTAATATACACAACTAAAAACAGTTGTTTATGTAACTGTTACTCGTGGCTTACTGTACTCTAGACAATAGAGGGTACGAGTCTTAAGATTTCTATTTAATTGCGTAACTATAGACAGACACTCTGAATTTAAATTCGTTGTTAAATTGGACACATTCCAGAACACAATATTTTTTTATACAACTTTTACAAAGTACAATTGTGTGCCGAGAATTCTTGATGGTAGAAATTAAAAATGTCCGGCAAAATGAAATCCAAAATGGTGGAATTTAATTAATAGTCATTTTTTCCCGTTGGGTATGGCTTTATCTATACGGCTTTGGACTAGTCGTGTCATAATGAATACTGTCATATTATGGGCAATGGCGTCATAATATGAATATTGTCGTTATACTGTCATATAATATGCTGACGTCATATACTCAAAGCCATTAAAAACGCAATGCTAAATTCAAAGTTTATTCACTGCAACAAATTTTAACAAATGTACCTAACATTTGACAAAATCGAGATAACAAGCATCTGTGGATAATTTCACGAAAGAATTCACTACAAATGCACAAAACCGAAACGTCTGAGAACCATGAAACAAAGCAGGGGTCAGCTGAAGTCAATATCGGGTATGTCCATTGTCCACCCTTAGCTCTTAAACATACCGGAAGTCGCCTTGGCATGAACTGGCACAGATGTCTGACTACACGCTGTGGGATTATTTGCCAATGATTTTGGAGTGCCTGTGCCAACTCTGCAACAGTTCCTTGTGGCACGGCTTGAGTTCAAACAAAAAGACAAGTGTTGCGTTTGCACAAACAAAGTTCATTACCGAGAACGGATATTGCGTTCAAACCCAGAACTCCACAAAAAGAGACCCATCACAAGTTTCAACTATGTGCCATAAGATAGGAAAACCCCCAAAAAGGTTTACCAGAAATATTTCAGGAATTAGGCATTGCGTTTTTAATGGCTTTGACTGGCTCGCTAGTCTGCAGGTCGGATGTTCGATCCTTGCATTGGCCTAGAAAGGTATTTATGCTTACCAGAACATACAGTCGACTAAACTTGGCTACAGTTGATTCTATAATAGCTTTGCTCGTAGTCTCTTGTCTCAGGTCTCCAATTGTTGTTATAATCTGCGGGAAAAATCCAAAACAATTGTAAATCAATTAAGCAACAAATAACGAAAATTGAATGCACAAACTTAGACATTTTGGGGTAGTTCAATTTTTCAAAAGATAATTTAGGTCTAATGAAACTTTAAGATGGGTTGAAAAGTCACATACCAAAAACTGATATGTTTAATGAAACAAATGTTTTATTTTGACGTGAATTGTAATTTATAATTAAACAAAAGACTAACATTATCAGATGATATGCCAGCTTCTGTACACAGTGATACCGTTTCATCCAGTTTAACTTTATTCCGACCAGTCAAAGAAAGCTTTGGACCAAATTTAGAGAAGTATATCGCTGTTGCAAATAAAAAGCAAACCGATGCCTTTTAATTCAAATATAGCTGTACGTACAAACTTTGAATTATAACCGGGGTCCATATGGACCCCATCATACCTGCTATGTGATTCTCACAACGTGTACCCACAGGGATTAAAATAATTGTAAGAAGTTACACAGACGACTAAATGATTAGCTTGCTGTTATTTTCGCCCCATATCTAATGTCAAATTGTCCAACCATAACATAGCCTTCATTTCGTCAAATCGTACAACTGTAACATAACCTTCATTTTATCAAATCGACCAACCATTTTCTATCTCGGCACATTTTGTTAACAAGAGTCGCCGGGAATCAACAACAGTCACGTGTAAGTATTATTCCGTTAACTATTTATATATTACATACTCTATACCATATTATGACTCTCCATGACCATAAGAGGTCCTATCTACTACATTCTGGACTAAGACTAGTAATTATTTCCCTATATTGAAAAAGACAGCTTTGCGTTTATTATTGGAAGATAACATAAATGGCTTGTATGTTGACTGTTGTGCGTATCTCTGGCTCAGGAACGTTGTTGGTACCATCACCATTGTAAATCATTTGACAGACCAGAATGAAGAGTGAGAACTATGATTGGTCAGCCATGTATCAGATTCCATACCAGGGGGTGGGGATCATAAAACTGTTGTAGTGTTTCATAATCAGATTATCTGAACTTAATTGTCCTATGTAAATACAGCTATGTAGGAGACATTTTAAAATTTATAGGCACTGCATGTTTCAACATCTTAGATTTGACCACAATTTGGCACTGTGCTTTTCGACGAAAATGTTAAAAAATCTAATATTGCATGATAATTACTGTTTTAAAGGATTTTCTTGTTTGATTTATATTGAATTTATGTTATCTTTTTACAGAATGCATTTATGTTCAAAAATAAAAATGTTCTGTGGAAATCAAAATTCATGTGCTTTTAAATTTATTTCTGAAAACCCGCAGTTTGCTGCTGTATAATGGTGTTTGGATAATGCTGCACTATTGGTCTGAAAATGCATGGATTTTCATAATCGTTGGCCAGGGCATTGCATATATGTTTGTTTATTAGACTACAACAGATTTGTTCAAACAGCAAGAACATGTGAGGTTTATAGGACTAAGATTAGAAATTATTTCCCTTTATTTCATGATGGACGAATGTAGTGCCAGTTATTAATAGACAATTTTTCCCTTAATTTTTTCTCCCCTTTTCTTGCATTTTTGGGTTGATTTTTTGGTCTAGAATTGGAGAAAAGGGATCAAATATGCAATTTAATAGCAGTTTTGGATAATACTGATGATATCACAGCGGAGGGATAGGGGGTGTAAAATGTCTTTCTGCAGAGCTATTATTGTGTTGGAGGTGAGATTTTCACCCTATAGTCAACATCAAATCCTCGTAGCAAAATATCTAAACGGTCAACCCCCTACAAAATTATGATGAGAAGATTGCCAAACACGGTCCCATGTGCCTATAATTATTGGAATATATATGACAGATAATCAAGTTAAGTATATAGTAACTGTATAGTAAATATTGTTATATATAATGATAAACTTGTATCAGCTACAGTCTCGTGTGTGTAACTATATTAGAGATAACGTTATAGTCTAAATTTGACCATAATCAATATGGCTACTAACATCACGGATAGACCACTCTGCAGTATTTGTTTGTTTAAACGATTTTAAACAACCTAAGATAATCGACTGTCAACATTCGTTCTGTTTCACATGTCTAGAAGATCATATCAACAATGCATCTGCTAACATTCAGTTTCTCTGTCCATTATGTCGTCATAATGTAAATATCCCGATTGGTGGTGTAAAGGACTTTGCGTCCAATGTAGATGTCCGGCAGGAGTTGGTGAGCGATATTGGTAAGGCAGAAATTCCACAATGCGATGTTTGTAAAACTGGTGTTTTTTCTGAGTTCGGGTGTGAAGAGCGTGAACAATATTTGTGTAGTGCTTGTAGAACAACCCATGATGGGTTTAATCTAAGTCGTGGACACATGATTTTAGATATTAATGTTGCATTACAAACAACAAGAGGAGATAATGCCGGTCCGAAATCTAAAAAAATCTGCCCAAACCACCATGACAAAGAAGTGCGATGTTATTGTAAAGATTGTTCAACCGCTGTTTGTTCCGATTGTTTTGTAACAGATGTTCAAACCAGAGATGAGCTTGAAGGCTTACGAGCCGAAATAGAAAGTCATGTTTGTCAATTTGAACAATTTTATAAATTGTTGATCAAAATTAAAACAGATATTGAACACTCTACAAACACGTCATGTGATGCTGTTGACCGACAAGTTGAACAAATCTGTTCTGAAGCCAAACAAGTTGGTGAGGAAACAAAAACCGAGATTGTGAAGTCACTTGATGAGGAAGTAGATAAAATGACCAAACCCCTGAAAAAGATGGAAATATTAATAGAAGATTTAAAAGCCAGTGTTAAATGTACAGTAGATGTTATAGAAGATAAATCTATTGTCCAGGTTTTAAACAGAATACCACAAGTTAAACAAGAACAAGAAGAATGTTGTTTAAGAAGGTTGGATATACCTGATGTAAAATACACATGTTTTGAAGAATCAGTGATTGATAAAACATTGTTAGTAAAACAACTAGGAACTTTACGGTATCAAGAACAATCAACCGCATGTTCCTGAAGCAACGACCGCGAATTTTACAACTAGTCGTTGCTTCAATACTCAACAATTCCCGAATTTTTGCGCTCGTTGTGTTTACACGTGACTAATTAGCATTGTCCAATCAGAGGTCGTGGCACATAACACACTGTAAACAAATATGGCGGCCTCCATAGAAAAATAAATAGCCACGTTTACAGCCTTTGTTGATCAACCATGATTTCCAGCAACCTTGACATTGATCGAACCTTGAACTTTGCAACTCGATTGTCACATGTAGACATTTTAGCTAGAAGCGCGAGACTTAATAATCGTAACCATATTTTTAACGAAGGAATCTGATAGGATCACAAGCTGGGCTTATACCCAATCGAAATTAGTGCTAAAATATGCGGGGTATTACGTGAAGGGCTTGATAAGATGTACGTAGTTAAGGCGAGATCAAAGCTTGAAAGGTGTACGTAGTTAAGGCGAGATCAAGCCTTCTATTGAAGATGAATCAACCGTTAAATCTAGTTTCAACTTAGATGAAGTAAAGGAAAGGGTATATGGTGCAGATTATTATATTCAAGGCTTACCATGGTGTATTAGAGCTGTGATGCACGATACTAAGTCAACTCTAGATATTTACCTGTATCTAAATATAACAGCTGATATTAAATCATGTCAGGCTAACCTAAGGTTTACACTGATTAATATAAAAGATAAACAACAATCTAAGAATATAGAATATTATTATAATGGCGACACATATAAACCTGGTAAAAGGTGAGTAGTCCTGGAATGATAGACTGGAATATATTGGCCGATACACAGAATGGATTCATTGATGATAACAACAATTTTACTATACAGACAACAGTCAAAGTAATCAAGATTGAACGTAATTAATATTAATACACACCTCACTAGCTCTGTGACAAACAGATTATAATGTTTGAACTGAATGATTATCTAATCAAACAATTAAATATGTTGATCATTGATATCTCCAAACGATTTTCTTTAATACAGTGTTGGTTTATGATAAAAAAAAATACTAACATATTTAACATCACGCGCTGTATAAAATGTTGTTGACTGTGTATTGTCGTTCACGAGGCAGGTTAGACTACGCTTTATAGAACACCTACTACCCCTTCTGATGGTTGTACTTTTGAGGTGCAAATTGGTTTATCTTCCGTATAATTTCCTTATAGCATTCCACACTAAAATTAAATATCTTATTCAAACGGGCTATTTTCCTCTAGACTAAATTAAACATGTCATATCCTTGTATCATGATGGAATCTGCGAAGAACATATCACACTAATATTAAATATCTTATTTAAATCGGTTTGTTTCCTATCATTCAGTTTATATGAGGTCAACTCTTTACCATAACCTTATATCTTAGGTCTATCTTAATAAAAAATGGTAAATGATCACTGACTATTCACAGCTGTCTCTAATGAGAGTATTTAGAACAGTAACCTATCAATATTCCAATGCTGCTGTTTTGGGGGGTCACAGTTTGTCTCATTTAATTTGGTCTAAAATTTGATTCAAATAAATAGCTCTATATATTTAATTATTAAGCTATATTTTGCAATCTGCGCAATCGCAGTATTAGTTGATCAGTTTTCAACGAAATGGTCAGTTGAAGTAGTCGGTGTGAGGAAAGTGTCTTCTCCATTTGTTACGATAATGAGGCTGATCAAAGGAACAATAGGCCAGCAAATTTACTGAATGAGCAGAACATGATTCTAGGTTACGTGTTTTTGAGAATTGGATTCAATGTAACCGTAGGTTAAGTGATTTAGAGAATTGGGTTCAAGGTAACCCTATGTTACGTGTTTTAGATAATTGGGGTGAAGTTATCTTGGGACTAGCATATGATATGTGTTTTTTTTTTGGGGGGGGGGGGGTTGGGGGGTCAATAATTCAACTGATTGCGATCTTTAGTAGTGTCAGCTGACGGGAGTAACCTAGGGATCACCCGAGATGAAACTCTGACTTACTCTTTACATAAAACTAAATACCATTTATAAACAATTCGTTCTTTATGCTAAGTTCCCATTATCACGATTCTCGGTTTTAATCGTGGAGTAATGTGGTAATCCTATCAGGTATTATATATTGTGGTCAATCGTACATACCTGCATGTACCACATCGTGGACTCAATGCACGACCGTCGGAACCTGGCATATCACACAAATAAATACCATTTATATTTCCCCGATATCCCCAACAACAATCGGTATATTATATAATATAGCAGTTCATCAAATAACAAATGTATATGATATATATTGCGGCAGTTAATCAAATAATAAATTTATATGATTAATTTTACAGCAGTTAATTTAATAACAAATATGATGTCTGGCGTATTATATTGCAGTTAATAAAATAACAAATTTATATAGTTTATTCTATAGCGGTTAATCAAACAACAATTTAATATGATTCATTTTATGGCAGATAATAAAACAACAAATTAATATGATTTATTCTATATCAGATAATCAAATAACAAATTAATATGATTTAGTCTATAGCAGATAATCAAATAACAAATCAATATGATTTATTCTATAGCAGATAATCAAATAGCCAATTTTATCTGATGTAAATATTATACAGCAGTTTATAAAATATTCTGGTTAATTTGTAGACAATGACAAATTATAACATATTGTTTGAAGCACTATTAACTTCAAGAGTAATCTCACAGTTCAATATCTTTATACAAACACATTATAAAATATTTCAGGATGTATTTAACAAGTAATTCAATTTAACGCGGTCATCTTTCAGCATAGGTACAGTTCCTATCAGCCAGGACCATAATATCTATCTACGACGGTTTGGCTGTTGTAGAACTAACACAATGTCGTCCACCATCAACATATAACAACTGACCAGTAATATAACTAGCCTGGTCAGATGCTAGATAGGCGATTGTTTTAGCTACGTCTTCTGGTTGACCAACTCTACCTAATGGATGGAGGCCATCTTGTTGTACCAAAAACTGAAATATTTAGTTTAGAAGAACGACTTATCATTAAAGAACTCAACACAGACAGTCTTATCACAGAGTACAAGTCTCTAAATTTACCTACGCAACAATACTAAGATAGAACACTGTCATTGGCGCTGTTATTATACAAGATCAGATAACTTCAACATTTCAACTACCTAAACTATATTTTAGTAATTCTAACCTTTTGGTACGCTTCATCATTTTCATATTTACTGTTTGTATTGGCTCTACGATATATATCGCTAACAACTGCACCTGGACTGAAATATATCAACGTGTATTCATATGTATTATATAGTTACCAAGCTCAGACAACTTGTCAAAAAATTCATTTTCACGAGTAGATATCGACAAACTTTTTATCAGCCTAGGAAACACAAATCTATACTGACGTCGTACATATGCTGACGTCATAGTATGAATATCGTATAAATACTGGCGTAATTTATATAAATACTGAGGTCGTACACATAGAAACTTATGCTTAAAAAACCCGTTGAAATATAATATCGAAACGAGGTTATTACAGAAGCATGCAGTAATACTGTTTGTATTGGCTCTACGATGTATATCGCTAACAACTGTACCTGGACTGAAATATATCAACGTGTATTCATATGTATTATATAGTTACCAAGCTCAGACAACTTGTCAAAAAATTCATTTTCACGAGTAGATATCGACAAACTTTTTATCAGCCTAGGAAACACAAATCTATACTGACGTCGTACATATGCTGACGTCATAGTATGAATATCGTATAAATACTGACGTAATTTATATAAATACTGAGGTCGTACACATAGAAACTTATGCTTAAAAAACCCGTTGAAATATAATATTGAAACGAGGTTATTACAGAATCATACAGTAATAGGATTTGTGTTTGTGTTTAAGTGACATACTCAAAGGGGCATTATGTAAGATTTAGATAAAGATCTGACAATAGTTCAAAAATAGATAATGTTGAAAATATCAGTCAAATTACTCCATTCTGAGTTATGCCCGTTTTAAGATAATAAAAAAGTCTCGATTATCCATTTTTAATTAAATTATAAACTGGCAATCACGTTTAAATCCGTTTAAAATCCAAACCACCCGATGGTCCAGAGAGTTGATTATGGGTCTGGCATGTAAATAAATGTCTAATTTAATGATTTATATAACATTTGAGGCCAAACGAAAAACCTGCTGGCTCTTTTACATTATGCCTATTGAATTACCGTTTCGGTAACCAGATTTGTTAGTTGTATCTAGGTGATATTTTCTCAATTATCAAATTTTTAGATATTAAAACATTATTTCTTTCGTTCGTCAATATAGATTTTACATAAACTGTAATAGACAAAGAAGATCGCAATAGAATAAAGAAGAATTTTATTGTAGTTCCTGGCACACTCTAAATATATCAATTTACCGTCAAATATTTCAAACAATTCTATAAAAATATAAAAAATAAACCGTTTTATACACAGATTAAAATGAATATAGACATTGATTGTAATTATAGTCCGTCAATAGGGGACATTAATTGTAATTATACTTAGTCAAGGAATATGTTCACCCGTTATATAAAGAACTATCCAATAATGAAAGTATCACTTACTTTACAGCGTTTACTCGAACTCCTTTTGGTGCCAATTCTAGTGGAAATATAAATAAAAACATCCAAAAGGTAATTACAACAACACTGCATATACATTATGGGGTACAGCGTTATGTACATGATCTAACTAAACGGTAATTTGGCTAAGATATAAACATTATAAGGTACAGCTTTCTGTACATGATCTAAAAGGTAATTATAACAATAAAACCTATATATAATGAGATTCAACTTTTTGTACATCATCCAAAGAGTAATTAGAACAAAAAAGGCCCATACTGTGTATTTTAAAACGGTAATTTGAGTAATAAGATCTAATGATTATCAGGTACAACTTTCTGTGCATGATCTAAAGGTTAATTAGAACAATAATTCCTGGCCTACCAATCTGATTAAAATACAGATCTATATTTCGTTTCGTTTTTTATACTTTCGATGGCCTACACTACATAAAGATCTGACCGATTGTAGCAATGGGTAAGAGGTCATACGACCGACTTTTAACCTATGGTGTCAGACATTTAATTAACCAATCAGCATTGATGTTACTAGTGGATTACCCACAGTTCCATGCAAAGACAAGTAGTAAAGACAAGTAAAACGAAATTTTGAACTATAAAAAACGAAACGAAGTAGGATCTGTGTTTTAATCAGATTGCTGGCCTACATATGCTGTAAATCATCTAAACGTTAATTATAACAATATGATCTATACATAATGAAGTTCAACTTTTTGAACATGATCTAATGAATAATTAGAACAGTAAGGCTCATACTGTGTATTTCAAAACGGTTTGTGAGATCTAATAGAAGCGAGACACCAGGGAATTAATTTCTTCAAACTATCACCTGACAATAGTAGGATGTCCATGGTGAGTGTCTGAATAAAATGAGTAAAAAGAAATATATTCCGTCACGTACATGACAGCTCATTAGAGCTGTATATAAGTCAGGAGTCGAGGCTATAATAGTGTTAATTATACAGGAAATATACCTACCTAAAGCCACACATTGTGTGAACATATCCATAGCAGCTTTACTCATACAATACACACCAATCTCTGGCATCTAGTAAACAAGAATTTAAGAGAGGTGGTATAGTGTGTTCTAAGGTCATACTGCATGCATATATTGGAACATTTGTAAATATTCGATAGATTTATAAATATGTACTAGATATTATATTAGTATATTAGATACTATTGTGTAACTTTACACGCAGGTAGATACTGGATATTATTGTATAACTTTATTGCCAGGTAATTACTATTGTATATCTTTATTCACAGTTATATAGTAGATACTACTGTATAACGTTATACACATGTATATACCAGATACTACTGTATAACTTTGCACACAGGAATACCCTAGATTTATTAGAATATTGTATAACTTTATACATTATATCAAAATAATTTAAATAACATTTTATAGTTGCTTTGATTTTATGCTCAGGAATTTAAAAAATCTTTACTTTTTATTACATGAAATATGCTGTTAGGTAATTATCGCTATTTTGGGGTGGAATAATTCCGCCGAGACTCATATTTTAGATATACACCATTTACTCACCACTTTAGATCCGCATATACTTGAAACATTGACTATACACCCTGTAAAATATTGTATATTAAAAATTGACTATACACCCTGTAAAATATTATATATTAAACACTGATTATACAACCTGTAATATATTATACACAAATATTGACTATACTGTCTGTAAAATATTGTATTATATTCAAATATTGACGATATAAAACCCGTAAACTAAATTGATACTGGACGATGTAATGTTGGTAACCCCTGAAATAACTAACGTATTAATAATCACAGTGACAGGCATCAAACAAAGACAGGGCAGTATAGGTATAAATAAGCATTAGGATTTTTGTTACATTACCTTTTGATTGTATTAAATGTGGGGCTGCTAGCTGTGTTAGTAAAAATGGTGCCTTCATATTAACATCCATGACGTCATCATAACCTTCTTCAGGTGTCGATAAAGTTAAAGATGTATATAAGGTTCCAGCATTATTGATCTACAAACACAAACTTCAAATGGTCGATTATATAATGAAACAAAATTAAATACGCCTAACGTGAGAGTGGAGTATTCTTAAATGTACCGTTTGCACCATTGAACCATATGTTAGTCCCGAAATGACCAAGTTTGACGTAAAACCTCATTTCTCTCACTTTCTCTCTCTCTTCTCGCTGGACCTTACCCCATCTCACGTATATTGTCCTCGTAGTAGAAATGACCTGGTTTGTAGAGCTTGGGCGTTACCCATCTCAATATATCAGGTGGGCGTTAACAGTATGGTATGATGCCCATAGAAATAAATATCTAGTATTATTATAATTCATTTATGCTTACCAGAACATCCAGTCGACCAAACTTGGCTATAGTTGATTCTATAATAGATTTCCTCGTAGTCTCTTGTCTCAGGTCTCCTGTTGTTGTTATAATCTGTGGGGAAACATCTTAGCAATAAACAATCAATATTGAATATATACATTTAATCCTTCATTGCGGAACTTTTTGTTTGGTTGGAATACCTAATTGTGCAATGGATTTTATTTATTTAAATAAGCATAGTTAATTAATTGTTTATAGGAACAACTATGTGCTATAAATACAGCAATAACTATGAACTACGATAAACATGATTTGATATAAATTAAACTAAACACTAACATTATCAGGTGATATGCCAGCTTCTGTACATAGGAACACCGTTTCATCTAATTTAGCTTTATTTCGACCAGTTAGAGACAGTTTACAACCAAGTCTAGAGAAGTATATCGCCGTTCCTCGTCCTATACCAACACTCGCACCTGTAATTTCCAAACAAAACTGCTATCAATCTAATGTAATATATGTTGGAATTGACATGAAATCAGTTGATTCGAATTATTCTCAATTTAACAGGATGTACAGCTTAACGGGAGTGACCTCTTAATAAAATCTCAGTGTTTGTTAGTGCTGACATCAAGTACGTTTGGATGCATTGGGAGCAAACATCGATACTTGCATCGGTAAATTTGGACGTCGCTGAAACTTGCTTGGAACGAAAATTCTTTGACTCAAATCTCTGATATAACTGTGAACGTGTCACTTTGAACCAACATTGATACTACTGTCTACCATTGCGATACATTCGATTATATTTATCTATTTTTGTGAAGTAAATCCATGAATTAATTTTATTTTATCAAAAGAGTACATGTCACAAAAAAACATCACTGAATTTGTCATTGATTTTCAGGTGGTGTAACTTTGTATGTAATATAGGAGGTGTTATAAAACTTCTGTTTAACAACAAAGCGGCAACGGGAAATAGATACCAGATGATCGCGAGAAACATCGGCTTTGACGGTAGCTTTAGTTTATTCAAACAGTATCAAATGATGTTTATTTAAGTGTAAAAGCAATGATCAAGGTTTGTCATTTCATAAAACAAAAGATTAATTAACAGATAATACCGGGTTTATTGTTACTTTCACAGTTCTGTTTACCTGATCCGTGGGGATCAGGCCCCGAGTTCACAAAGCATTCTCAGACTTAAGTTGAGAATTCGCTCAACTTTCAATTACTGTTTATGAGAAATATCTTTGATGCAGAAACACAAAACTTTTCACATAGTTTTTTATTGATATATCTGATACATTCAAGCAACAAAATTATTATAAAGGGCTATATTTTAGTTAAAATAAGGCGAATAAGTTTGAGTAAATTCTCAACTTAAGTCTGAGAATGCTTTGTGAACACGGGCCCAGATAATTAACTATTAACACGGGACCTCGGTTTTAGTCCCACCCGAACGACTAGACAGCTGTCCTTGTCAGCCCCCCGGGCCGCGTTAGAGAAGTGACCGTTGATTAAAGAGATGAAACAATAGAATTTCTACTGCGGGGGGGGGGGGGATTTATCGTGACCGGTTACAAGGTGATGTCGATGAAGAGGTGTGGCTGATCATACAGATTCTACTGTAAAACAAAATTACAAAATAAGAAGCTCCATTTTTCTTAATTTAGACTTTAAAGATGCATTAAGTAAGATTTAAATAAAGAGATTTGACAGTTCGCGCTATATTAGTTTAAAAATATATAGTGGCAACGGAATATATTATGAGTGAAGTTATAATGTTTAAATAATAGCGTAGTCTCGATTTTCATTTCTACCGTTGTTACGATAATTAAAAAAATATCGATTGTCCATGTTTAAATTAAATGGCGATCGTGTTTCAATCCGATCTAAATCACAACTACCCGATGTTCTAGAGAGCTGATTATGGGCTTGGTAGGTGAATGAATATCTATGTAATAGATAACATTCGAGATCAAAATAAAGGATGTAATATAGGTAGATGTAGCTTTTGCTGAATAGTATTTATAAGTTAGAATCGGCCAATAATATTGACAAATAAATAATTGCAAATGTATAATAATAGAACACTATTTAAAACACGTTAGATTGTACAATCCCTTTACTTCAAGCATCGTGAGCCGTTACTATGGCGACAGTTGTACATTAAAACATACAGCATCTCGGCACCAATGAAAAGCGAGAAGTTTTATAGACGATTGCATTAAACTGCTCCTAACAGCATAACATACGACCCTTAAGAAGCCCGAGAAGTTATGCAGACACCCGAATTTACTTGACTACTCTTGCCCGATTAACATATCTTAGCCCGATAAGTTTTATAGACGACTGTATATCTAACATAATAGTAGTGTCCAATCGCCCAAACGTTAAATAACCTTCATTATTTTCCTTGGTACATAAATTGTTTACAGTGTCGGCTGATCTTCACAACAGTCGTTTGTCTGCATTATAACTAATTCATAATAGAACATTATGTACGATACCTGTTATTATGACGACACAAGCTTTCAGACTCTCCATGCTAATATATCTGTATTGTATATAACTAGGTCATACAATATCAACCTCTATCTCCTAACTCTACTATTTACAGTCAGTCTTGTTATCTGTTGAGTTTGGGAGACGATAATGGTACTAAACGGTGGCGTGTCCTACAAATCAGGGGCGGATCTAGGAATTTTGAAAAGGGGGGGGGGCGCCGAAAAATGAGGGCAGTGACCGCGGAGACGGGGCACGCCTCTGAGAGCCCCCCCCCCCCCCAATAAACTTATCCGTCATTTCCTTGCATCTGTAGCCATTCCAAGAGCTATTTGGCTGATATTTTCGTCTAAAGCAGTGGACACATAAGCCGAATCGTTCGGCCGAATCAATCGGCGCAGAATTTTATTCGGCCGAATGGGTGGACACACTAACCGAATGCTTCGCCCGATTCAACCTGCCGATTGCATCACCTTTCACGTCACATGATTAAACATGGCGGCGTCTATGTCTTCAATCTATCACGTGACTTCTCGATATGAGTGGTGATTGGCTAAGTAATGAATTCTATATTCGGCCGAATATATCAAACCTGTTTGATTTGGGCGAATCATTCGGCCGAATGACAGTGGACACACTAGGCGAATTTCGACGCCGATTGATTCGGCTAGTGTGTCCACCGCTCTAGTAAACGTTCGGAAATCGTTGAAAAAGAGCCTTAAATCGAGCAAAAAAGCCAGTTGAACATGCGATTCGAAAATTGTCATGGCGAGCAAGTTAGTGTTAAAATGGTATATTTCACTCCTTAAATACGGAATATATAAAGTTGGTACATGATTCGAAAAACTATTCCCTAGCCACTTCACTATTTAAGCCTTGTAACTGGTCCACATGTGAAACAATGCTACATCAAGTTGCACTCATGCGCGTCGGTGATGGGCATGAGTGTACAGGCCGCCGATTCCACAAGATGCTATCATTGATGTCTGTCTATAGTCACTCTATAGGATTAGGGCACCGTCAGCTAAAATTTTGCGTAGAATACGATGCCGAGTGATAACCAGTCCGCCGTTGGGGCGTTTTCGAGATATTCGGGGTCAAAGGTCAAATGGGTTCAGCTGAAAATGATTGAAAATAAAAACACTTTCAATAAAAATGTTAACTTGCTAAATTCACCTTTGTTCTTTGTGACCCTTCGGCATCGTATTCTACGCAAAATTTTACTGTAAAAAAGTTGGGTCTGGTGTTGTGCCCATTTGATGGACAAGCCAGACCCCCCCCCCCCCCCCGCGCTGAGCTTCCGGTCTATAAAAATTGTTTAGTAATATCCTGCCCACCTATCATTTTACGTTTATAACTAATTGAAGACACATAAGACCTTACTGTGCTAGGAGCCAAATTCCTGAATGACAATGATGCAATAAATTTTAAAACCATTTCCAAAGTTGCAGGCCATACCTCAACAATGCTATTTCGAATACAAAATGAGGAGAAAGAGGATAACCCAGTGCCATACGCCAAGTGTGTATTGTATGAATGTGCTGCTCGAATTAATCGGTTAACTTCGTTCTGTAAATCGCATCCAGTATGTTTCTGGGAACCTGATGTGGTGACTGGTCTGCTTCGGGTGCAAGTTGCCGAAAACGACCCCACTGCTGCCGAGAAATAGCATCACTAATTTCATTGCCAAGTCCACATAATGTGTTTTGCTCGAAAAATAATATCATGTTTTAGAAACACTAACAAAAGGGGAGAAGAAGGGACATAAAATACCAACCAAAGCTAAGTTACCAATGTGAAGCCGTAATTTCTTATTTACAAACTGCGGGCCCCAAAGTTCTAGCGCAATGGCCACAGGAATCAACTCTAAAAAAGTAACATCAGCTAAAATAGGTGACTTTTCCCAGATATCAGGTCAACCAAAATACGCCCATTGGCCGACAAAATAAGTCCCACAGCAAAGCACTCCCAGCATTATCTGTGCACAAATTTTATGTTTCATTGGAAAACCAATGTTAAACCATTAAAATTTAAAAAAAAAAAAATGAAGCCACATTGACATGTCCTCCCGTAAACTTTTATTAATCCCGATATGATGGTGTTTTCCCTTCGTCGCAAAAATACCTTGCCAAGCCTGACAGCTCTACACATAAAGTTAAGGGAACCGGTCAATGTCTGCAAATGAAGCAATGTAACTTTCTTGCACCCCATTAGAGACTTAGCAATGTGATCAATTTTACAATTTATAGGTGTATTTTTAAATAAAATAAAATCAAATATGTGTTCATGTACGTATAGGTGTACGCTCCATAACTACGTGGTATCAAATTAAGCAGCATGACCCCGTGAATATTTTACGCCATCGAATTTGGGTCCCGAATTAAGACCCAGAACGAATGAGGGACCAGGGCGAATTTAGACCCCGGGCGAATTTGGGCATCCGGCGAATTTGGCCCGGGCGAAGCATGATTTGCGAACATAATAAATATAGCGAATTTGGCCCCGGAGGGGGGGGGGGTGACCCCTCGCAATTTTAGGTCAAGGACAAAATTGGGCCTCGAGCCAATTTGGGCCGCCGGCGAATTGGGCCACGGGCGAATTTGGACCCGTTCGAAGCGTGATTGGCAAACATACATACATACATACACACACACACACAGACGTCTAATTTTTGGAGTCCTTGGTGACTTAGGCCTAAGCGAATTTAGGCCCCGGGCGAAGCGTGATGGGTGTACATACATACATACGGCAAATCTGGGCCCTGCGCGAATCTGGGCCCCGTGCGAATTTGGTGCCTGTCGAATTCGGGCCATAGGCGAATCTGGCGAAGCCGGGTATCCTGCAAGTTTTCAATATATAAGACATAGAGAACATTTTAAAATCAGTACACGAGTCGTGTAGATTTATCTTTCGAACGCCATTTGTAATGAACAAAGAAAAACATACAATAAGGCAATGCAGAAGCAATTAGTTATTGTGAAATAGGGTTTAACGTCCTAATAGTCCATGCGATATATAATATACTACACGATATACTACTAATGCACACGGTATACTACTAGTGCACACTTACTAATGCGCATGTGTCACAGGGTTTAACATTCTACCGATGCACACGGTACATGATATGACATAGGGTTTATCGTTCTACTAATACACACTGTATAAGATATAAAATACGGTTTAACATTCTACTAATACACACGGTACATGATATGGGAGAGAGAGAGAAATGGGGTTTAACGTCCACTCGACACAAACTAGGTCATTTCGGGACTAACATATGGTTTAATTTTATTTAATTAATTCGCTTGCGCGTAGGGGTCTTTAGCAGTGGGAGGAAACCGGAGGACCCGGAGAAAACCCACGAGGTTGGACAGGCGACCCTACTCCCTGCCACGTACAACCGGGGATTGGAAACCACGCCAGTTGACTCAATGACAGACTTTATGATACAGCGCGCGCACGCTAACCATTCAGCCATCCAACCCCCCGTACATGATATGAAATAGGTATTGTGAAATAGGGTTTCACGTCCTACTAGTACTAGTAGACACGATATATTTTACACGATATTCTACTAATACACACGGTACATGATAATAATGACATAAGGTTTAACATTCTACTAATACACACGGTACATGCTATGACATCGGGTTTAAAGTCCTAATACACAAGGTACATGATATGACATCGGGTTTATCGTTCTACCATAGAAATATATACTGACGGGAATGTCCACCGTATGACGTCATCGCGTTGTGTTATGGGACGTCTGCAAAATATTGGTTCATGCATTCGCCACTTCCGGTTGCTGTCAAAATGCCGGGAAACAACTGTGTTTTCGTCGGATGCTCCGCCTGTCAAACGAGAAACCGTGGCCTCTCCTTCCATAGACTTCCAAGAAACAACCCTGAGAGGAAATTAAACTATTACGCATCATAAAATCAACTAGGGAGGATCGAGTGAACATCGACAGACTAACTATTTGCTCAAGACATTTTGAAGATGAGTGCTTTTTTACCGGTAAGTAGACTAGTAGTAGTATATAGGCCTAAATGTAAACAAAAAAGCAATCGGGACTTGAGGATTCGTTAAAATCTTTTGATGTTCAATGCCTAATTTTAAAGTGTTCGCTGAAATAGCATTTTAAGTTCGATATTATCAATTCAATGATAGAACACTTGTTAAGTTGTTTAACAGGCAGCAGTTCATCAAATAACAAATGTATATGATATATATTGCGGCAGTTAATCAAATAATAAATTTATATGATTAATTTTACAGCAGTTAATCTAATAACAAATATGATGTCTGGCGTATTATATTGCAGTTAATAAAATAACAAATTTATATAGTTTATTCTATAGCGGTTAATCAAACAACAATTTAATATGATTCATTCTATGGCAGATAATCAAACAACAAATTAATATGATTTATTCTATATCAGATAATCAAATAACAAATTAATATGATTTAGTCTATAGCAGATAATCAAATAACAAATCAATATGATTTATTCTATAGCAGATAATCAAATAGCCAATTTTATCTGATTTAAATATTATACAGCAGTTTATAAAATATTCTGGTTAATTTGTAGACAATGACAAATTATAACATATTGTTTGAAGCACTATTAACTTCAAGAGTAATCTCACAGTTCAATATCTTTATACAAACACATTATAAAATATTTCAGGATGTATTTAACAAGTAACTCAATTTAACGCGGTCATCTTTCAGCATAGGTACAGTTCCTATCAGCCGGGACCATAATATCTATCTACGACGGTTTGGCTGTTGTAGAACTAACACAATGTCGTCCACCATCAACATATAACAACTGACCAGTAATATAACTAGCCTGGTCAGATGCTAGATAGGCGATTGTTTTAGCTACGTCTTCTGGTTGACCAACTCTACGTAATGGATGGCGGCCATCTTGTTGTACCAAAAACTGAAATATTTAGTTTAGAAGAACGACTTATCATTAAAGAACTCAACACAGACAGTCTTATCACAGAGTACAAGTCTCTAAATTTACCTACGCAACAATACTAAGATAGAACACTGTCATTGGCGCTGTTATTATACAATACGGTACATATTGTAGTACAACTGACTGGGAAGATCAGATAACTTCAACATTTCAACTACCTAAACTATATTTTAGTAATTCTAACCTTTTGGTACGCTTCATCATTTTCATATTTACTGTTTGTATTGGCTCTACGATGTATATCGCTAACAACTGTACCTGGACTGAAATATATCAACGTGTATTCATATGTATTATATAGTTACCAAGCTCAGACAACTTGTCAAAAACTTCATTTTCACGAGTAGATATCGACAAACTTTTTATCAGCCTAGGAAACACAAATCTATACTGACGTCGTACATATGCTGACGTCATAGTATGAATATCGTATAAATACTGACGTAATTTATATAAATACTGAGGTCGTACACATAGAAACTTATGCTTAAAAAACCCGTTGAAATAAAATATTGAAACGAGGTTATTACAGAAGCATGCAGTAATAGGATTTGTGTTTGTGTTTAAGTGACATACTCAAAGGGGCATTATGTAAGATTTAGATAAAGATCTGATAATAGTTCAAAAATAGATAATGTTGAAAATATTAGTCAAATTACTTCATTCTGAGTTATGCCCGTTTTAAGATAATAAAAAAGTCTCGATTATCCATTTTTAATTAAATTATTAACTGGCAATCACGTTAAAATCCGTTTAAAATCCAAACCACCCGATGGTCCAGAGAGTTGATTATGGGTCTGGCATGTAAATAAATGTCTAATTTAATGATTTATATAACATTTGAGGCCAAACGAAAAACCTGCTGGCTCTTTTACATTATGCCTATTGAATCACAGTTTCGGTAACCAGATTTGTTAGTTGTATCTAAGTGATATTTTCTCAATTATCAAATTTTTAGATATTAAAACATTATTTCTTTCGTTCGTCAATATAGATTTTACATAAACTGTAATAGACAAAGAAGATCGCAATAGAATAAAGAAGAATTTTATTGTAGTTCCTGGCACACTCTAAATATATCAATTTACCGTCAAATATTTCAAACAATTCTATAAAAATATAAAAAATAAACCGTTTTATACACAGATTAAAATGAATATAGACATTGATTGTAATTATAGTCCGTCAATAGGGGACATTAATTGTAATTATACTTAGTCAAGGAATATGTTCACCCGTTATATAAAGAACTATCCAATAATGAAAGTATCACTTACTTTACAGCGTTTACTCGAACTCCTTTTGGTGCCAATTCTAGTGGAAATATAAAAAAAAAACATCCAAAAGGTAATTACAACAACACTGCATATACATTATGGGGTACAGCGTTATGTACATGATCTAACTAAACGGTAATTTGGCTAAGATATAAACATTATAAGGTACAGCTTTCTGTACATGATCTAAAAGGTAATTATAACAATAAAACCTATATATAATGAGATTCAACTTTTTGTACATCATCCAAAGAGTAATTAGAACAAAAGAGGCCCATACTGTGTATTTTAAAACGGTAATTTGAGTAATAAGATCTATTGATTATCAGGTACAACTTTCTGTGCATGATCTAAAGGTTAATTAGAACAATAATTCCTGGCCTACCAATCTGATTAAAATACAGATCTATATTTCGTTTCGTTTTTTATACTTTCTATGGCCTACACTACATAAAGATCTGACCGATTGTAGCAATAGGTAAGAGGTCATACGACCGACTTTTAACCTATGGTGTCAGACATTTAATTAACCAATCAGCATTGATGTTACTAGTGGATTACCCACAGTTCCATGCAAAGACAAGTAGTAAAGAGAAGTAAAACGAAATTTTGAACTATAAAAAACGAAACGAAGTAGGATCTGTGTTTTAATCAGATTGCTGGCCTACATATGCTGTAAATCATCTAAACGTTAATTATAACAATATGATCTATACATAATGAAGTTCAACTTTTTCAACATGATCTAATGAATAATTAGAACAGTAAGGCTCATACTGTGTATTTCAAAACGGTTTGTGAGATCTAATAGAAGCGAGACACCAGGGAATTAATTTCTTCAAACTATCACCTGACAATAGTAGGATGTCCATGGTGAGTGTCTGAATAAAATGAGTAAAAAGAAATATATTCCGTCACGTACATGACAGCTCATTAGAGCTGTATATAAGTCAGGAGTCGAGGCTATAATAGTGTTAATTATACAGGAAATATACCTACCTAAAGCCACACATTGTGTGAACATATCCATAGCAGCTTTACTCATACAATACACACCAATCTCTGGCATCTAATAAACAAGAATTTAAGAGAGGTGGTATAGTGTGTTCTAAGGTCATACTGCATGCAATAATTGGAACATTTGTAAATATTCGATAGATTTATAAATATGTACTAGATATTATATTAGTATATTAGATACTATTGTGTAACTTTACACGCAGGTAGATACTGGATATTATTGTATAACTTTATTGCCAGGTAATTACTATTGTATATCTTTATTCACAGTTATATAGTAGATACTATTGTATAACGTTATACACATGTATATACCAGATACTACTGTATAACTTTGCACACAGGAATACCCTAGATTTATTAGAATATTGTATAACTTTATACATTATATCAAAATAATTTAAATAACATTTTATAGTTGCTTTGATTTTATGCTCAGGAATTTAAAAAATCTTTACTTTTTATTACATGAAATATGCTGTTAGGTAATTATCGCTATTTTGGGGTGGAATAATTCCGCCGAGACTCATATTTTAGATATACACCATTTACTCACCGCTTTAGATCCGCATATACTTGAAACATTGACTATACACCCTGTAAAATATTGTATATTAAAAATTGACTATACACCCTGTAAAATATTATATATTAAACACTGATTATACAACCTGTAATATATTATACACAAATATTGACTATACTGTCTGTAAAATATTGTATTATATTCAAATATTGACGATATAAAACCCGTAAACTAAATTGATACTGGACGATGTAATGTTGGTAAACCCTGAAATAACTAACGTATTAATAATCACAGTGACAGGCATCAAACAAAGACAGGGCAGTATAGGTATAAATAAGCATTAGGATTTTTGTTACATTACCTTTTGATTGTATTAAATGTGGGGCTGCTAGCTGTGTTAGTAAAAATGGTGCCTTCATATTAACATCCATGACGTCATCATAACCTTCTTCAGGTGTCGATAAAGTTAAAGATGTATATAAGGTTCCAGCATTATTGATCTACAAACACAAACTTCAAATGGTCGATTATATAATGAAACAAAATTAAATACGCCTAACGTGAGAGTGTGGAGTATTCTTAAATGTACCCTGTTTGCACCATTGAACCATATGTTAGTCCCGAAATGACCAAGTTTGACGTAAAACCTCATTTCTCTCTCTTTCTCTCTCTCTCTTCTCGCTGGACCTTACCCCATCTCACGTATATTGTCCTCGTAGTAGAAATGACCTGGTTTGTAGAGCTTGGGCGTTACCCATCTCAATATATCAGGTGGGCGTTAACAGTATGGTATGATGCCCATAGAAATAAATATCTAGTATTATTATAATTCATTTATGCTTACCAGAACATCCAGTCGACCAAACTTGGCTATAGTTGATTCTATAATAGATTTCCTCGTAGTCTCTTGTCTCAGGTCTCCTGTTGTTGTTATAATCTGTGGGGAAACATCTTAGCAATAAACAATCAATATTGAATATATACATTTAATCCTTCATTGCGGAACTTTTTGTTTGGTTGGAATACCTAATTGTGCAATGGATTTTATTTATTTAAATAAGCATAGTTAATTAATTGTTTATAGGAACAACTATGTGCTATAAATACAGCAATAACTATGAACTACGCTAAACATGATTTGATATAAATTAAACTAAACACTAACATTATCAGGTGATATGCCAGCTTCTGTACATAGGGACACCGTTTCATCTAATTTAGCTTTATTTCGACCAGTTAGAGACAGTTTACAACCAAGTCTAGAGAAGTATATCGCCGTTCCTCGTCCTATACCAACACTCGCACCTGTAATTTCCAAACAAAACTGCTATCAATCTAATGTAATATATGTTGGAATTGACATGAAATCAGTTGATTCGAATTATTCTCAATTTAACAGGATGTACCGCTTAACGGGAGTGACCTCTTAATAAAATCTCAGTGTTTGTTAGTGCTGACATCAAGTACGTTTGGATGCATTGGGAGCAAACATCGATACTTGCATCGGTAAATTTGGACGTCGCTGAAACTTGCTTGGAACGAAAATTCTTTGACTCAAATCTCTGATATAACTGTGAACGTGTCACTTTGAACCAACATTGATACTACTGTCTACCATTGCGATACATTCGATTATATTTATCTATTTTTGTGAAGTAAATCCATGAATTAATTTTATTTTATCAAAAGAGTACATGTCACAAAAAAAACATCACTGAATTTGTCATTGATTTTCAGGTGGTGTAACTTTGTATGTAATATAGGAGGTGTTATAAAACTTCTGTTTAACAACAAAGCGGCAACGGGAAATAGATACTAGATGATCGCGAGAAACATCGGCTTTGACGGTAGCTTTAGTTTATTCAAACAGTATCAAATGATGTTTATTTAAGTGTAAAAGCAATGATCAAGGTTTGTCATTTCATAAAACAAAAGATTAATTAACAGATAATACCGGGTTTATTGTTACTTTCACAGTTCTGTTTACCTGATCCGTGGGGATCTAATCACGGGATTAGCGGAGGCGCTACGAAGTACGACAAGATGGTATCATTCAACAATGGCTGTTGAATGGGCGATTTTTTGTTAAATTTATTAGTAAAATAGTGACCGCTGGCCGCGTTAGAAATGAAATGACATGAAATGAACTTGGGTTTAACGTTCTACTGTTCTGCTCCGAACTGGGCTACTGAAGATGGGCATACGCCATACAGTGTGCTATGAGGGAAATTTTGCCCGGACACCGGCACTACGGCCTACTCTTATATCGAATTCCAACTGTCAAGGGATCTTTTACTTGAACGCCAATGTGTACACGGGACCTCGGTTTTAGTCCCACCCGAACGACTAGACAGCTGTCCTTGTCAGCCCCCCGGGCCGCGTTAGAGAAGTGACCGTTGATTAAAGAGATGAAACAATAGAATTTCTACTGCGGGGGGGGGGGGGGATTTATCGTGACCGGTTACAAGGTGATGTCGATGAAGAGGTGTGGCTGATCATACAGATTCTACTGTAAAACAAAATTACAAAATAAGAAGCTCCATTTTTCTTAATTTAGACTTTAAAGATGCATTAAGTAAGATTTAAATAAAGAGATTTGACAGTTCGCGCTATATTAGTTTAAAAATATATAGTGGCAACGGAATATATTATGAGTGAAGTTATAATGTTTAAATAATAGCGTAGTCTCGATTTTCATTTCTACCGTTGTTACGATAATTAAAAAAAATATCGATTGTCCATGTTTAAATTAAATGGCGATCGTGTTTCAATCCGATCTAAATCACAACTACCCGATGTTCTAGAGAGCTGATTATGGGCTTGGTAGGTGAATGAATATCTATGTAATAGATAACATTCGAGATCAAAATAAAGGATGTAATATAGGTAGATGTAGCTTTTGCTGAATAGTATTTATAAGTTAGAATCGGCCAATAATATTGACAAATAAATAATTGCAAATGTATAATAATAGAACACTATTTAAAACACGTTAGATTGTACAATCCCTTTACTTCAAGCATCGTGAGCCGTTACTATGGCGATAGTTGTACATTAAAACATACAGCATCTTGGCACCAATGAAAAGCGAGAAGTTTTATAGACGATTGCATTAAACTGCTCCTAACAGCATAACATACGACCCTTAAGAAGCCCGAGAAGTTATGCAGACACCCGAATTTACTTGACTACTCTTGCCCGATTAACATATCTTAGCCCGATAAGTTTTATAGACGACTGTATATCTAACATAATAGTAGTGTCCAATCGCCCAAACGTTAAATAACCTTCATTATTTTCCTTGGTACATAAATTGTTTACAGTGTCGGCTGATCTTCACAACAGTCGTTTGTCTGCATTATAACTAATTCATAATAGAACATTATGTACGATACCTGTTATTATGACGACACAAGCTTTCAGACTCTCCATGCTAATATATCTGTATTGTATATAACTAGGTCATACAATATCAACCTCTATCTCCTAACTCTACTATTTACAGTCAGTCTTGTTATCTGTTGAGTTTGGGAGACGATAATGGTACTAAACGGTGGCGTGTCCTACAAATCAGGGGCGGATCTAGGAATTTTGAAAAGGGGGGGGGGGCGCCGAAAAATGAGGGCAGTGACCGCGGAGACGGGGCACGCCTCTGAGAGCACCCCCCCCCCTCCAATAAACTTATCCGTCATTTCCTTGCATCTGTAGCCATTCCAAGAGCTATTTGGCTGATATTTTCGTCTAAAGCAGTGGACACATAAGCCGAATCGTTCGGCCGAATCAATCGGCGCAGAATTTTATTCGGCCGAATGGGTGGACACACTAACCGAATGCTTCGCCCGATTCAACCTGCCGATTGCATCACCTTTCACGTCACATGATTAAACATGGCGGCGTCTATGTCTTCAATCTATCACGTGACTTCTCGATATGAGTGGTGATTGGCTAAGTAATGAATTCTATATTCGGCCGAATATATCAAACCTGTTTGATTTGGGCGAATCATTCGGCCGAATGACAGTGGACACACTAGGCGAATTTCGACGCCGATTGATTCGGCTAGTGTGTCCACCGCTCTAGTAAACGTTCGGAAATCGTTGGAAAAGAGCCTTAAATCGAGCAAAAAAGCCAGTTGAACATGCGATTCGAAAATTGTCATGGCGAGCAAGTTAGTGTTAAAATGGTATATTTCACTCCTTAAATACGGAATATATAAAGTTGGTACATGATTCGAAAAACTATTCCCTAGCCACTTCACTATTTAAGCCTTGTAACTGGTACTGTGTACTGTCCACATGTGAAACAATGCTACATCAAGTTGCACTCATGCGCGTCGGTGATGGGCATGAGTGTATAGGCCGCCGATTCCACAAGATGCTATCATTGATGTCTGTCTATAGTCACTCTATAGGATTAGGGCACCGTCAGCTAAAATTTTGCGTAGAATACGATGCCGAGTGAAAACCAGTCCGCCGTTGGGGCGTTTTCGAGATATTCGGGGTCAAAGGTCAAATGGGTTCAGCTGAAAATGATCGAAAGTAATCACACTTTCAATAAAAATGTTAATTAACTTGCTAAATTCACCTTTGTTCTTTGTGACCCTTCGGCATCGTATTCTACGCAAAATTTTACTGTAAAAAAGTTGGGTCTGGTGTTGTGCCCATTTGATGGACACGTCCCCCCCCCCCCCGCGCTGAGCTTCCGGTCTATAAAAATTGTTTAGTAATATCCTGCCCACCTATCATTTTACGTTTATAACTAATTGAAGACACATAAGACCTTACTGTGCTAGGAGCCAAATTCCTGAATGACAATGATGCAATAAATTTTAAAACCATTTCCAAAGTTGCAGGCCATACCTCAACAATGCTATTTCGAATACAAAATGAGGAGAAAGAGGATAACCCAGTGCCATACGCCAAGTGTGTATTGTATGAATGTGCTGCTCGAATTAATCGGTTAACTTCGTTCTGTAAATCGCATCCAGTATGTTTCTGGGAACCTGCTGTGGTGACTGGTCTGCTTCGGGTGCAAGTTGCCGAAAACGACCCCACTGCTGCCGAGAAATAGCATCACTAATTTCATTGCCAAGTCCACATAATGTGTTTTGCTCGAAAAATAATATCATGTTTTAGAAACACTAACAAAAGGGGGCGAAGAAGGGACATAAAATACCAACCAAAGCTAAGTTACCAATGTGAAGCCGTAATTTCTTATTTACAAACTGCGGGCCCCAAAGTTCTAGCGCAATGGCCACAGGAATCAACTCTAAAAAAGTAACATCAGCTAAAATAGGTGACTTTTCCCAGAATGTAACTTTCTTGCACCCCATTAGAGACTTAGCAATGTGATCAATTTTACAATTTATAGGTGTATTTTTAAATAAAATAAAATCAAATATGTGTTCATGTACGTATAGGTGTACGCTCCATAACTACGTGGTATCAAATTAAGCAGCATGACCACGTGAATATTTTACGCCATCGAATTTGGGTCCCGAATTAAGACCCAGGACGAATGAGGGACCAAGGCGAATTTGGACCCCGGGCGAATTTGGGCATCCGGCGAATTTGGCCCGGGCGAAGCATGATTTGCGAACATAATAAATATAGCGAATTTGGCCCCGGAGGGAGGTGGGGTGACCCCTCGCAATTTTAGGTCAAGGGTAAAATTGGGCCTCGAGCCAATTTGGGCCGCCGGCGAATTGGGCCACGGGCGAATTTGGACCCGTTCGAAGCGTGATTGGCAAACCCACATACATACATACATACATACACACACACACACACACACCCACACACACCCAGACGTCTAATTTTTGGAGTCCTTGGTGACTTAGGCCTAAGCGAATTTAGGCCCCGGGCGAAGCGTGATGGGTGTACATACATACATACGGCGAATCTGGGCCCTGCGCGAATCTGGGCCCCGTGCGAATTTGGTGCCTGTCGAATTCGGGCCATAGGCGAATCTGGCGAAGCCGGGTATCCTGCAAGTTTTCAATATATAAGACATAGAGAACATTTTAAAATCAGTACACGAGTCGTGTAGATTTATCTTTCGAACGCCATTTGTAATGAACAAAGAAAAACATACAATAAGGCAATGCAGAAGCAATTAGTTATTGTGAAATAGGGTTTAACGTCCTAATAGTCCATGCGATATATAATATACTACACGATATACTACTAATGCACACGGTATACTACTAATGCACAGTTACTAATGCGCATGTGTCACAGGGTTTAACATTCTACCGATGCACACGGTACATGATATGACATAGGGTTTATCGTTCTACTAATACACACGGTATAAGATATAAAATACGGTTTAACATTCTACTAATACACACGGTACATGATATGAAATAGCGTATTGTGAAATAGGGTTTCGGATCACGTCCTACTAGTACTAGTAGACACGATATATTTTACACGATATTCTACTAATACACACGGTACATGATAATAATGACATAAGGTTTAACATTCTACTAATACACACGGTACATGCTATGACATCGGGTTTAAAGTCCTAATACACAAGGTACATGATATGACATCGGGTTTATCGTTCTACCATAGAAATATATACTGACGGGAATGTCCACCGTATGACGTCATCGCGTTATGTTATGGGACGTCTGCAAAATATTGGTTCATGCATTCGCCACTTCCGGTTGCTGTCTAAATGCCGGGAAACAACTGTGTTTTCGTCGGATGCTCCGCCTGTCAAACGAGAAACCGTGGCCTCTCCTTCCATAGACTTCCAAGAAACAACCCTGAGAGGAAATTAAACTATTACGCATCATAAAATCAACTAGGGAGGATCGAGTGAACATCGACAGACTAACTATTTGCTCAAGACATTTTGAAGATGAGTGCTTTTTTACCGGTAAGTAGACTAGTAGTAGTATATCTATAGGCCTAAATGTAAACAGAAAAGCAATCGGCACTTGAGGATTCGTTAAAATCTTTTGATGTTCAATGCCTAATTTTAAAGTGTTCGCTGAAATAGCATTTTAAGTTTGATATTATCAATTCAATGATAGAACACTTGTTAAGTTGTTTAATAGGCAGCTAGGCCTAGTACTAGTACTAGTAGTATAGGCCTAAAAGACTGTATATACCGGTACTCAGATCATATACTTTATACACTGGCAATGGCAGATCATTTTATATTTTAAATTTGATATTATCAATTCAATGATAAAACTGACAATTGTTTAATAATACTAGGCTAGTAACTTTAAGTAAGGCATAGCCCCAATTTAAGACTTAAATACTTTATGAATTATTTATAGTGCAGTGCCAGTGGCAGATAATTTTATTTTTTTTTAGATGTTATTTATTCAATTGGATTAATACAAAGATAATCTTTAATAATAAAGTCCCATGTAGAATTCTGTTATTGGATTGCATCATCATATTATAAGGCTAAGTGAACAAAACTAAAAAATTATGATATTGATTGAAAGATATCTTTTCAAGTTTGTAAGTACGTAGGTCTGTCAATGGGCGAACTTTGACTCTGACCTTCGGATGGTTGAGCATGGTTCAGTTCGAAAAAAAAAAAAGAAATTGACATATATATATATATATATATTTTTCTAAATGAATCTAATTGGTCTTAGAATCCACTGAAAAATGTGTATAAATGGCCTAAATCTGCGGAGATAAATGTTTTATGAATGGGGTGCAGGAAAGGTGAATCAAGCTGGTTTCTCTTCTTGTCATGTCAGATATTCTTCACCACCACCAGGCTCCAGGGAAACCCATTGGTCTGAGGGCAGAGGGCTACCAATGATACAGATTTAATTATCATTTATTGTTTCTAGATATCCAACAACATAGCTTAAGCAATGTACAAAAGCTTTCCTAAAATTATTTATATTTATATTACAGCTACTACCAGTACTGGAAAAATAAGAAGACAGTTAAAACCTGGAAGTTTACCCACTCTTCATCTGCCTCAAAAGACTATAATGACACCCAAATTACCTGCCAGGAAACCACCGGTAAGTGTAATATGCAATTCTTTATGTACATTTCCATTAAGATTTTCTTTATCTGATAAAGGCCTATATCAAATAAAATATTTGTATCCACAACAAGGGATTGATATGTATATATTCTTATGAGAAACCCCCTTTACTTATTACATTTAATTTCTGTGAAAAGGACCAGTAAAAATTTAGTCTTGTCACATTGGTAACAATTGCCATGCAAGAGTGCATCTATAAAGGCCTAATGTGAAATGCTAGAAATTGTGAGAATCTGATTCTTGCAATAATTTGACTACCATTATCTAAATACTGTTTAATTATGAAATTAAGCAGGCATTATATGCAAGAGCTGATTCTGCCATTACTGGTCTTTCTTTAGGCCTTTAATGTTATATAAATTATGAATTAAACATTAATTAACTTACCAAGCCCATAACCAACTCTCAATGCCATTTATCTATCTTTTTATACGCCCACATTTTCATGTGGACGTATTATGCCGTCGCCCCTGTCCGTCCGGCCGCCCACAATTTGTTTGTGGACACCCTAGAGGTCACAATTCTTATCCGAATTTGACGAAACTTGAAATATAGGTTTATCTCCAAAGGATCTCGGCTGCTTTCGATATTGGCATGTATCGGATCGAAAATTCATGGATTATGGCCCCTGTTTGTACGAAAAATCACGTTTTTAGCTTGTGGACCCTATAGAGGTCACAAATTTTATCCGATTTTGTTGAAACTTGAAATGTAAGTTTATAACCCAAAGATCTCACTTCCTTTCGATATTCGCGCATATCGGACCGTAACTTCCTGAATTATGGCCCCTGATTGTACGAAAAATCGCGTTTTTAGCTTGTGGACCCTATAGAGGTCATAATTTTTATCCGATTTTAAAAAACCTATTATTTCGTGAAAATCGGCCCAAAATTGACAGACGAAATGGCCGCCATTCGTTCTCAAATAGCGTAAAAGTATGGTATATCAAGGTTGTGGACCCTATAGAGGTCACAATTTTTAGCCGATTTTGTTGAAACTTGAAATGTAAGTTTATAACCCAAAGATCTCGGTTCCTTTCGATATTCGCGCATATCGAATTGTAATTTCCTGAATTATGGCCCTTGATTGTAGGAAAAATCACTTTCTTTTTAGCTTGTTCTCTATCCATCTCTCGGAAATGTGGGCGTATCCTGCCTGGCAGCCGCTGGTTAAACTATTACGACACATATAACGAGAATTGTCAGCTCTTAATCTAATCTTACATAAGGCACGTTTAAGTTACTTGGCCTTTTAATTTAATCGTTTAATTTTGATAGGTTTTCATGTGGACGTATATTGTCGTCGCCCCTGTCAGTCCAGACAGGTCACAATTCTTATCCAATATTGTCGAAACTTGAAATATAGGTTTATCTCCCTAAGATCTTGGTTCCTTTCGATATTGGCATGTATCGGACCATAACTTCATGGATTATGGCCCCTGGTTGTACGAAAAATCTCGTTTTTAGCTTGTGGACACTCTAGAGGTCACAATTTTTATCCGATTTTGTTGAAACTTGAAATGCATGGTTATAACCCAAAGATCTTGATTCCTTTCGATGTTCGCGCATATCGGATCGTAACTTCCCTTAATTATGGCCCCTGACTCTACGAAAAATCGCGTTTTTTGGCTTGTGGTTCCTCCAGAGGTCACAATTTTTATCCAATTTAAAAAACTGTTTAAGTATATCACCGTTACACCGTAATGAGGGTTGAGTTCAAATTTTGTGAAAATCGGACCAAAACTGACGGACAAAATGGCCGCCGCTTGTACGCGAATAGTGTAAAAATATGGTACATCAAGGTTGTGGACCCTATACAGGTCACAATTGTTATCCGATTTTGTTGAAAAATGAAATGTAAGTTTATAACCCAAAGATCATTGTTCCTGTTGATATTCGCGCTTATAGGACTGTAACTTCCTGAATTATGGCCCCCGATTGTACGAAAAAATCACGTTTTTACCTTGTGGACCCTATAGAGGTCATAATTTTTATCCGATTTAAAAAAAACTATTATTATATCACCGTCACACCCTAAAGACGACTGAGTTCGAATTTCGTGATAATTGGCTCAAAACTACCAGACAAAATGGCCGCTCCTCATTCTCAAATAACGTAAAAAATATGGTATATCAAGGTTTTGGACCCTATAGAGGTCACAATTTTTATCCGATTTTGTTGAAACTTAAAATATGTAAGTTTATAACCCAAAGATCTTGGTTCCTTTTGATATTTGTGCATATTGAATTGTAATTTCCTGAATTATGGCCCTTGATTGTAGGAAAAATCACTTTTCGTTTTAGCTTGTTCTCTATCCATCTCTCAAAAATGTGGGCGTATCCTGTTTGGCAACCGCTGGTTTAATTATGAAATTAAAATATTCTGAAACATTCTAAGTAACTATTATAATTATCTTTACAGAAATCAAGAATTTCATCTTCTGTTCTGCCTTGTGGTAGTTCTACTGGTCCATCTGTCACATTTGATGCATTGAAAGAATCTACTAAATTAAAAATTCCAAATGGATGGTGTTGTGATTCATCTGATCCTGATAAGATTATCCTTGTTAGATTAGGAGGCTGTCAAATTGTTGCCAGTGTATATAAATCCATGAGTTTTACAGTGCATCTTAATGATTATCTTATACCAAATATTTTTATAGTTTCAACTAGTTAATTATATAGAAACTCTTCATTTTTGTACAGGAATAACATCTCCTGAACTTCAGTCATATTCTGAACTGCAGTCGGAAACATCTAATCATTTTCGTCATGTCAAGTTATTAATGAATTCAACATCTGAAAGTAGTATCAGTTATGCTAGCTCTGTGCGTTCTAAACAATGTTTAGGAATCTCCAATCATAACAATAAAATACCTAGTACTTTTCTTTGTACAAACTGTTGACAGGTCAAAAGAAATATAATTAGACAACATGAGCGTGTGACTGGAACCCGTTCATTTAAAATAGTTTCATCCAAAACACCATTACAACGTGTCAGTAAGGGAATAGTGACTAGAGCTCTTAAAGAATCGCGAAAACAACTAAAGAAAGTTAATAAACAGCTAAAATCAATTAAAAAACAACTTGCCAAGGAATGTTTTCCCATTGAAAGAGACATGCACAAATCTCTGTTCAGTATAATGGATAGCAGCTCTGTGACTGAACCTTTCGTAAAACTTTTTTGGAATGAACAGAAAAGCGCCTTTTCTAAGAAAAACAGAGGTCACAGCTGGCACCCAATGATGATCAGACTGGCCATTCTTCTACATTCACAAAGTCCATCTACCTATAGATCTTTACGAGAGTGTGGAATTTTAAGACTTCCAGGAGAATCAACTCTTCGTGATTTTACAAACTTCAGTAAACCTCAACCAGGATTTCATCCAGATATTCTGAAAGAAATAAAGGAAGCAGCTGATCATTTAAAAGAGGAGCAGAGATGGGTTGTCTTGCTTATGGAGATGAGATGTTCATTAAATCTGATTTGGTTTTTGATAGACAGACAGGATTAACAAGTAAGTGATATTAGGTATTAAAGGACAATGCAGCAAAAGGTTGATTTAACAGTATATTGCTTTCTGCTCAGTCCTTTTGAATAACGAATTAACTCAGATGTGCAGATATGCTTGGATACGTTTCGATACGATCAACATGATTGCTACAACTGACCTCAATATATGATAAGATCTGATAGCATCCCCACAATTACTTCACAATTAAAACCACGTAGCATGAATTGTGATAGTGGGAACCTACTAGCATAAGCGGTATCAAATGACAAGCAGTCTTCTAAATTCTAAACAGTCTGTGTTAACTGTTTATCTCCTAAGTAATTCAGGAATATATGCCTACCTACCTGAATATGAAGATGATATGAAACTGGTATGATCTATAAAGCTATAACGTCACTTCCATTCTTCCGAGTTTGAATATTTTAACTTATACTTTTTTTCTATTTTATAGTGTTAATCAAGAAGGTAATTTTAAACAGAATGTTGCAACACATTGTTTGGTATTTATGGTTGTTGGTATCAACAGTAGCATCAAATTTACCATCGGATGGTTTCCAACTAAAACTGCAACTGCAAGCAATCTTTATCCAATTTTTTGGGAATCTGTAGGACATCTAGAAACGTTTTGTAATCTAAAGGTTAGTATCAAAGCATAATAAATGGTATTACTCAAAGGTGTTTCGCACCTTCAGCACTTCACCTCCCGTGCACCCCAATCGTTGGTCTCTGAATCAGCCCTTGTTACTGGTTTTTAAAACTGGTGTTAATATTGGAAAAAGTTCATTATTAAATTGAGAAGTTGCGGAATTTATGCTGGAGAATTGCTGGAAATTTTCGACCAGATTGGTGGGTTTCGCTGACGGGAAATTTGCTGATGAATCAATATTTAGTTTCTTGTACATCTCATCTTGTAAAAAAAATTAAATTGTTATATTTTTTTTAGGTAATTGCTCTTACATCTGACAAGGCCTCCTCAAATATGAGATTTATATCTCTTCATGGACCAGATGTTCATAAAACAACCAACTTATTTGCTCCTGAAAGAGAAATATATTTCTTTTCTGATGCTCCTCATCTTCTTAAAACTAAGAAATAACTTAGCTGCCTCTGGTAGTAATCAGAACAGTCGATTATTGTGGGTAAGTCAATTTTCACATAAATTTCCTCTGGACCTAAAAGTTTCCATCTCTCAAGGGGACAATCCATGAAAGACTTAGAGACAACATAAAAATCAGTATAGGTTTAAAGACAAAGTTTATTAATTTTGGCCATTTGAAGTTTACACGTAGTGATAAATCAGTTGGTAGACATATTCTACAATCACTCTTTAAATTTTATTTGCAGAAGAACAACCAAAATCTTTTATGGAAACATGTGGCAGATGTATATGAAAGAGATATGGCTCATGAGTTGAGCAAGGTTACAAAACTTACCTACAATCACATTCATTTAACATCATTTTCTGTTATGAAAGTGAATTTTGCTGCCCAGGTAAATATATTTATTTTATGATCAGTAGTGGAATACTGCGTTTTATCAGTGAAATAAAAGTGTTATTCAACTGGGTAGTTGTTTTTACCTAAAATGATTGTAAAATCATAAAATAAATAGAACATTTGTCGTTTTGTCGTGAATAAAATATATTATTCACTCTAAAACGACAAATATCCTAAATATAACGTGTAATGAAGCGCTATATAAATCGAACAATAATAATAATAATAATAATATATTACTAAATTTTTAATGTGAAGATGCCTTCTGATATCCAGTAAAATTTTACTCATCTATGAATCAGAGGCTTTTATGCATTAGGAAATTTGATTGTTCACTATTTGTCAACAAATTGATTTTGTGTTGGGTGTGGGGGCATGATTCATGAGAGGTACTTGAATTTAAATACACTTCATTTTAGTCAAAATAGAAATTGTTATAATACTAATATCAGAATTTATTATTCCATCATAAATATTTGCAGGTCTTTAGTCGTTCTGTTGGCAAGGTGATCGAAGAATTTGGTGGAGAAGAGGCCCAGGAAACTGCTAAGTTTATTCTGTTAATTGATCGTTTCTTTGATAGTTTGAATGTAAGATCAAAGTTTGAAGGACAGAGAAAAAGAAAAACAGATCTAATGCCATACGAAAGTATTGATGATCCCAGGTTCAAGGTGAGTTACGTACCAGTATTTATATTCATGTTTTCTAGTAAATGAAGATAATCAGAAACATTGATAAGGGACTAAACCACCTCAAAATATTAGAATATGTTCGTCATTGGCATTATTAAAGAAAAATTTGAAAACATACTTATTCTTTGAGGCTTTTCCACATTAATACATCATTTATTTAATTGATACATAACATGACAATAATAATAAATATAGTAAATGACCGATTGGTATTTTATATAATTTCTAGTAAATGAAAATAATTGGAAACATTTGATTAAATACTAGATATACTAGACTGATTTTTATTTTATGTAGTTTCTTATTGATGACTTCTTGGGATATCTAGAAGACTGGAAAAAGCAGGTCGATGATCGAGCAGAATTTAGTAAAATTGAAAAGTCCAAAATGTTCCCAACTCACCAAACCTACAAGGGATTAGTAATTATAGGTATGTATTTTGGATGTTCATCATTGTCAAGTCTATTATTATATTAGAAGTCACAGGTTTTACAGGGTATGTGTCTAGTCAAGTGGGTTAATTAAAGATACATTAAGGAATATTATGGAAGAATTGACTGTTCTCGCTATAATAGTTAAAACGTAGATAACGTAAGTAGAATATGTTGAAAATTTCAATCAAATTGCTCCACTCTGCATAACATATCCAGTGTTTAAAATTTATGTAATTTTAATAAACCCATAAAAGATTTTTACACCAGCTATATTAAATGTTTTCTTTTTTTTCTATAGTTAAATCAGTTGTGGAAGCAATAAAGTTTCTCCTTTAGAATGGGGTCAGTTTTGTTTTGACAAACAAATTTTGTCAAGACCCACTCGAAGAACATTTTGGCAGACATAGGGCCCTGGGAAGGCGAAATGATAACCCAACAGTCTATGAATTTGGGTATGCATATCTATATTAAATTGAAGGGACATATTTGTAGATATTTATTTAATTAAACAAAAACTACCATTGAATGCTTTTACGTCCCATTTTATAAAATTAATTGAAACCATTTTTAAGACAATATTTAAGAGCCACTTGGCTCCCAACTGTCAACCATTTGCATTGGACTATCTGTCAGCCCATCTGCGTGTTAAGAATTCTTAACATTCTTAGAGGTGACACTGTTGATTATTCTTTGATCTTTTTTAAATTCTCAGAGGTGACACTGTTGATTATTCGTTGATCTTTTTTAAATTAATGTATGTTGTCTGAAGAAATGAACATTTCATAGATTAGTATGAATTTTTAATTTAATTTCCAGTTACCAGGAAAATAAACTTCGCCTTCAGCGCTGTCTCTCTCTCCAACTTCATCCACGTGGGAACATCAGGACAAGGAAAGCAGCAATTGATCTTGATGAAACACCTTTGAAAAAGAGAAGACAAACGACCCAGAAATAATTTCTATCTGTCTGTCCGTATGCCTGCCTGTCTGTTTTATTGAATTGGTAACTTCACAAAATGAATTATTGCTGATCAAATGTAATTTCTCAAAAGTCAAGATGCTGTTATGTAATAGAGCGAACTCTGTTTGTAGGTTAAGCAGAGCGATAAGCAATTTGATTGGTCGGGACTTTGGAGCTCGATAACTTTGATTCTAATTGAGTGAGTGAAACGTATAGTTTCATTACATCATTATCTTATCAAGGTTCGATGCTGAGCATTTTCTGCTTAGGCAAAGTTAAGACTTCGATCTGATTGTTCAAGACTTTGGAACACAATATCTCTCCTTCTAATTGAGGTAGAATGTTCAAATTTGGTGCAGGTGTATATTAGGTGAATGCCTTGACAGAGTTCGATCATGCGCATTTTCCACTAAGTTCAATGATGAGAATTTTCTGCTTAGACTAAGTAGCGATAAGCAACTCAATGAAACTGAGTGTATAGTTTAACTACCAGGTACTTCAAAACCTTGACCGAGTCTTGATTGATAAAGACTTTGGAATACAACAACTCTCCTTCAAATTGAGGTAGAATTTCAAATTTGGTGTACATTGTAGGTTTTTATTAGGTGAATGCCTTGAAAGTTTGATCATGTATATTTTCCACTAAGTTCGATGATGAGAATTTTCTGCTTAGACTAAGTAGCGATAAGCAACGCGATGAAACTTAGTGTATAGTTTCACTTCCAGGTACTTCAAATCCTTGACTGAGTTCAATCTGAACATCTTCTGCTTAGACTAAGTATAGATGATTGGTTTGATTGCTCAATACATTTTAAAAAGATAAATATGCAATTAAAGATACATTATGGAAGATTAGATAAAGAGCTGACAGTTCTCACTCTAACAGTTAAATAATAGATAATGTAACAGGAATATTCTGAAAATTTCAGTCAAATTACTTCACACTAAGCCAAGAAATACTCATTTAAAAACCTTTTTGATTGTCATAGGCTCATAGGCAGATTTAGCTCTTGCATAATGTATGTTTAGTAAATGGTATGTGTCATCTATTTATTTTAAGATGTCGGTGGGGGACAGCCTCATTATTGGCTTGTTGTCCCCCGCCTTTCGAAGAAAGCAGGGGACTATTAAAATGGGTTCGTCCGTCTGTCTGTCTGTCCGTCACACATTTTGGGACACAATAACTCTCTTTCTAATTGAGCTAGAATAATCAAACTTGGTGTAGGTGTTTATTAGGTCAATGCCTTGATGGAGTTCGAAGATGAGCATTTTCTGCTTAGGGTAAGCAGAGATAAGCAATTTGATTGGTTGATGCTTTGGGACACAATAACTTTAGTTCTATTTAAAGTAGCTAAGTCTCTAACTCAATATCATCCAAAATCTTCGACATTGAAAACACAATTTATTTGTCAGTTTAAATCAAAATCAACATTGATGTTGTGATCTTACCGGGAAAAGATGGCCTTCTGATATCTAATATTTAAGACAAAATAAACATTTTACAATTTGTACACGAATCGTGTACCATAATGCGGTTTCAGCGCTATGTGTAATAAGGGACTCGAAAAACGAGGCTAGGCATATTCCACAAGTCATGTCAAACGGTAACGCTATATTCTTATCTGGAGAGCATGCCCAATAAATACTATCGGCGTAGACTGGAATAACCAGAAGCTAGAGATTGCAATTCGATTGAGAATACTGGCGTATGTCGCCGAACCTAACTAATTAGAAATTACAGTAAAAACAGAAACGATTGAATGTAAATCAATTTATATACATTCATATTACATTATTGTATGTGTTGCGACCCATTTGTGTCAATTTCTAGGTCCCAAATATTAGCGACTTAGCTCCTTTAAGTGTGAGTGATGAAACTTTCTAATTGAGCTAAAATGTTCAAACTTGGTGTAGGTGTTTATTAGGTCAATGCCTTGATGGAGTTTGATAATGGGCATTTTCTGCTCAGGGTAAACAGAGTTGATTGGTCGAGACTTTGGAACACAATAACTCTCATTTTAATTGAGTTAGAATGTTCACACTTGGTGTAGGTGTCAATTAGGTGAATGTCTTGATGGAGTTTAAAGATGGGAATTTTCTGCTTAGGGTAAGCAGAGATAAGCAGTTTGATTGTTTGATGCTTTGGGACACGATAACTTTAGTTCTAATTAAGTGGTGAGGACACTTGGTGTATAGCTTTATTACATCAATACCTTGACTAAGTTCGATAATGAACATTTTTTGCTGAGGGTAAGCAGAGTGATAAGCAATTTGATTGGTCTAGACTTTGGAACACAATAACTCCCCTTCTAATTGAGGTAGAATGTTCAAACTTGGCGTAGGTGTCTATTAGGTGAATGTTTAAACTTGATGTAGATGTTCATTAGGTGAATGTCTTGACTGAGTTCAATGATTAACATTTCGAGCTGAAGCCAAGCAGAGCTAATTGATTTCATTTGTCGATGGTTTGGGACAAGATAATCTTGATTCTATCTGATAGAGAGTGATGAAACTTAGTGAAAATAATAAATGTGCAATAAAATATGTGTCATCTATTTATTTTGCAATTTCGGTGGGGGACATCAGCCTCACTGTTGGCTTGTTCTAATCAAGTTAGAGAGAAAACACTTGGTGTATAGCTTTATTACATCAATACCTTGACTAAGTTCGATAATGAACATTTTCTGTTGAGGGTAAGCAGAGCGATAAGCAATTTCATTGGTCGAGACTTTGGATCACAATAACTCTCCTTCTCATTGAGGTAGAATGTTCGAAATTGGTGTAGGCTTTCATTAGGTGAACGCCTTGACAGAGTTCGATGATGAACATTGTCTGCTGAACATTGTCTGCTTACGGTAAGCAGAGATAAACAATCTGATTGGTTGATGCTTTGGGGCACGATAACTTTGGTTATAATGAAGTGAGAGCAATGAAACTCCGAATATAGATTCATTATATCATTATCTTGACAAAGTTCGATGGTGAGAATTTTCTGATTAGGCTAAGAAGCGATAAGCAATTTGATTGGTCAAGACTTTGAATCATAACAACTCTGCTTTTAATTGAAGTAGAATGTTTAAACTTGATGTAGATGTTTATTAGGCGAATGTCTTGACTGAGTTCAATGATTAACATTTCGTGCTGAAGCTAAGCAGAGCTAATCGATTTCATTGGTCGATGCTTTGGATCGTTCGGATGGGACGAAAAAACCGAGGTCTGGCGTGCACGTAAAAGATCCCTTGGCAGTTGGAATTCTATATAAGAGAAGGCCGTAGCGCCGCTGCCCAGGCAAAATTTCCCTCATAGCACACTGTATGGCGTATGCCCGTCTTCATTAGCCCAGGTTAGGAGCAGAACAGTAGGACGTTAAACCCCATTTCATTTCATTTCGATGCTTTGGGACAAGATAATCTTGATTCCATCTGATCGAGCGTGATGAAACTTAGTGTATAGTTTGATTGCTTAATACTTTTGAAAAAAATAAATGTGCGATTAATATGTGTCATCTATTTTTTTTGGTTTTCGGCGGGGGACACCAGCCTCACTGTTGGCTTGGGTTTTTTTTATGATCGAATAGAATACCATTTTTGAATGTATAAAATTTATAGCCGAAAAATCTGCCTTTTGTTTTTTGTACTTGCAATTAGCATTGTTCATGATCGATAGAATTCCATTTTTGAATGTATAAAATTTATAGCCGAAAAATCTGCCTTATGTTTTTTGTACTTGCAATTAGCATTGTTCATTCCGAATTTGATGCATAACTAAGACAATTTGACTTTAGTTATCATCAGCACCCTTTATTATCAGGCTTTTGGGCCTGGAACATGGATGGTAAATACAATTTTTTTGGATGATTAAAAATAGTTCATCACCCCAAATAACAAAAATGGACATATCTTATGAACAAAACTTACAGTGCTAGCTTTAAAATGTGCACTTTAGAGTACTCAACGCCCTTAAATTGTATTTATCATGAAAATGAATATTAATTACTGTACAAATGTACAATGTTTAACATTTTTCTAACATGGGGTTTGAATGAAACATCTATTTTGTCATCTTTTTTAAGTCTTTTCGTAGCCCTTTGTTGATTTTAGATTTCTTACCTTTATATTCTCTCACATAATGTTGTATCATGCGCTTACATTTGTGATGTGCTCTTATTAAAAAAAACATGTCTATGCAAAGAATCATACATTCTTCTAAATCTTTGTCTGTAAATTGTTCTGTTTGATTGGTAGCGTCAAAGAAATCGCTCTTAATTAAAGTGTTTGTCATGCAACTGACTCTGAAATCTGTCTTTGACAAATTCAAATGTATCTGTTTATTGGGATAGATGCGTCTAAAACAGATCTCTAAACCTAAAAAAAAATCTGCAGTTTTCTTTGTAACATATGTTAAGCCACCTCTATCAAATAATTTAACTAAATCATGTTGATTATTAAAATCAGTTGAACAATTATCACTTTTCATGCAACTAAATAGATCGTGGCGAGTTTTATGATCTGTTTCATTATATTTGTGGAGAAATTTACTAATGACACTTCCAGCAATGTAAATGACAATATTGCTCTCCTCTGAACTCACACCCTGTACATGAGAGTCATTTTCAGTTTGTTTGTCTAAAATATTTTCAATAATTAGTGCATCAAAAAACTTAATACATAGAAGAGTAATAAAATTTCTGTCCAAATTGAAACGTTGAACTAGATCTTCAGATATAACTGGTAAACTGGTATGAAATGTACTCCAGCTTTTTTCCGCACAAGACTCTTTATATGAAGAACCAGACGAAAGGAAAAGTAATGGATTAAACTTTAAGTGCAAAAAGTCAATTATGGAACCCACTGCAATAGAAAATACAACACAAAAATCATAAATTTACTTGTAAAAAGCTATTTAATGTCCAGTTTATACAAAAAAAATATATATGACACTAAAATAAAAACAAGATAGCCACGCAAAGCATGGAAATACACCTACACAACAGCTTTGTAATGAAAACATTTAGCCATAGACTGTGGCGGAAAAGCAAAATTACGCTAATTAAAGTGCCATGACCTCAGAAAGTAAAATGTGATTATGATCACATGCAAGTTTGAAAAAGATTCGTCAAAAATTGTGGCTTCTATTGAGCAGAAAGGGCAACTGCATTATACACTAATACTTATGTGTGGGCCTATAATAATAATATGTGTACAATTTATATTTGGCAGGTTACATACATAAGTTAAGTTATAAAATATATAGTAGTATTAAAATAATACATACTAAATGTATAATAAAACAATTTTGAATCAATAGAAATATTGTAAAACATGAAAGCAATTTGACCCAAAGAGGTCAATGTACTGCATATTGAAATCAATGCAAACTGTCTAACCATGCTCTTAAAATTATGCCCTGTAATTTTTTGAATAATAAATCACTATTACATTATCAAGCAAACTGATGTCCATCCAATTAGTTACCATTGATATATTTTAGAGAGTTTACGGTATAGATTCTATTGAATTAACTGATAATATTGAGATTATACAGAAGTTTAAAGAGGCATTAGGTAAGATTAGATATGTAAAAGAGCTGACAGTTTTCGCTATATAGTTAAAAATTAATACTGGTAATGAAAACAGAAAATGCTGAAAATTTCAGCCATATCACTTCACTCTGAACCAAGATACTAACGATTCATTTTTCAGCTAGCCTGGATCATCATTACTAACGCCAATTCTATAATTAACAGTCTCGATTATCAATTTTTACGTTAAATTATCCATCACAAAATATATGCAGAGATTCCATATGGGTGTGAATGAACAGGCATTCAAACAGGATGGTTTTCTGTTCAGTTTCTGAGATATATTAACTACTTAATCTTGAAATCTTTCTCTTCTGATTCATATAAATGTTTCTGATATTGCTTGCATAGACGTTTTAACACAATGTTGACTGTGTAATTATCTTTAGGAACTCATCATAACTAAACAAAAATGAAAAATAGAAAAATAAAATGAAAATTAAACATTGGAACTATAAATAAAGGCTAACAAATATTTTGTGAATAAAATTCAAAAAGTATATTACCATTCAATATCTGCACAGAAGCAAATGATGGATTTGTTGATGTTAGGTTACTGGCTATTTTCTGTAACCGAATAGATGATATAGGCCTACAATTTACTACAGCAGTAGGCCTCTAGAAAGGAAATTTAAAATGTTAATTTAACCTATCTTACTATAGGCCCTTTGATAATAAATTAAATAATCATTAAAATAATACTTCGTGGTTTGGGTGCAATAGTTGAATAGTCAATATGGCCTACCTGTTTAGTTTTTTTACTTAGTGGTTTTCCACCATCATCGTAATATGGGACAGACTCCACAAAATCTGAGAAGAATTCCTGTGACGAAAATAAACAGAAGAAATTTATTATATAGCCTAGTTGCACACGTCAAAAAAAAAATGCGAGTTAGGCCTATTTTTTATATATAGGGCCTAGTAAAGTAGTATTATTATAGGCTGGTCAAACTAACATTTGACGTAGAACAAATTGCAACAAAAGGTTTTTTGATTTCTATTGACTCATTATGATGTCCTAAGTAAGGAAAAGAAAGTTTACCAAAATCGGAGTCCAAATAAGGACGGGGGGCGTGGCCAAATCCAAGATGGCGGCTGTCGATCAAAAATTGCATATATCTCTAAAACTATTGGATTTAGACACCATAAATGTATTGCTGACAGATAGGAAGTCGGTATCAGCGAGTTCAAAAATTGCGACGTTATGTCTCTATGACGTCATGACGTCGCTGCTATGTCACAACGGCATATCAGACGTCGCATTTCTTCCAAAATTAGTCCATTTACACATCTTAACAGCAGAAACGAATGCTGATGCAGAACAAGAGAGCATGCCCATTATGTTGGGTTGATAAAGAAGAACAATGTGTTACTATTACGGAGACGGGGGGGGGGGGGTTAAAGTATAACTACTGCTGCATTGCCGATAGGTGATAGTATCAGAGTAGCTGCAGGAACACGGATTCATTTCAATTGTTGAAAAAATGAAATAAAATGAGGTTATACATCCTATTGTTCTGCTCCGATTTGGCTCCCTTAGTGTGCTATGAGGGAAAATTTGCCCTGCAATGGCGCAACGGCCTACTCATATATCGAATTTCATCCGCCAAGAGGTCTTTTACTGGAGAAGTAGTGCATCAAAAGGTGAATGGGTGGGGCTGATCAATTTTGACATTTGGCCCAAAAATCATCAGAAAGATTTATATTTTGACACCAGTTTCGTAGATGTAACCGAGATGTGTTACAAAACCAACTTTCGCAGTAATGTGAACAGCACTCCCTGGTGGTTTCCACAAAAGCATTACTTTATAGTCGCGTTTTGTGGGTCCAGATCATATGTGGACAGATAGGAACTGAATATCAGAGAGTCCAAAAAGGTGAAAATCGGTCGACCCTATCCATGCAACATTCAATGCACTTCCACAGTACAAGCACAAAATAGGTTGTCAAACATTGAGTCGCTGGGCTCCTTAATGTCGCTTTTTGTTTATCTTTTTGGCCACTACATCGTTGCTCTCACTCATTCGGCTTCATCCTTAAAATTGATTCTTTCGTCTTTATACTGTAATACGTTAAACTGGAGGTTTTCGAGGTCGCCGAATTAATATCTGAACTGCTACATGTAATATTTTCTTCCATGGTCTACTCAACATAGATATTTTGTCAAATTTGAGTACAATATTGGTGTTTCGTTCGGTCATGGCACATTTTGCGGTTCAGATGTTAATTTGCCTACTCCGAAAACCTACTATTTGACGTATTATGCCACCACATGGCTAACTTTGAAATTTCCCGCCAAATGTGGCCATATTGTGAATAGAGTTGTCATATTAGGATACTAATTTGTACTGGCATCATCCGGATTCTGAATCGGCACATATTAAAGATATATAATCCATCAAAACACATTAGATGGACTTTATTTCATGGCCCGCGACAGCGACATCCATGCCCTGGGACAAGCAACTCGACGAAACGTTTTGAAAGACACATAGTCTCTAGCGTCACTTGGCGTATATCTGGGGTAACTGGAGGTTACTTTGCTAAAGCACATTGGTTGGAAAAAGGTCCACAATTGCCAAAAATATCGAAACACTATAAAACGAAGACGAAAGTAAAAGTTTCGCTTTCAGTTTCGTTTTTAATGTAATTGTGCTTTATAGAGTATATCTTGGTGTTTCTAGCTTCTGCACATCTAACTTGCGGCAACCTTAGCAATTCATCAAAAACGACATAAATTCATGATTAAACGGGGACACCAAATTACGCAAGAACCTAAACTAGCTTTGGGAGCCCTGAAACTACTATACTCTTGTTCAACCCATCCCTAAAAAGGGAGGGGAAAGATGGGATGTTAAAACGTGTTGCAAATTTCTGCGGTACCTGGGCCCGGTTCCTAGAAAATTCTTAAAGTAAGCACAAAGTCGTGCTTCACCTTTTCTTACGTAAGAAACTTATAAAAATACCGTCCCTAGAAAATTCTCAAGACCATTCTTACGTAAGCACAAGTCAAGTATAAGTCTAAGCACATTGTGACTGGTAAAGTTTACCATAAACTGAAACTACAACGCTCTTTAACGTCATAAAAACAACTTTGGTATGCGAATTACGTAATAAATTTGTCGTCTGCTTCATTGAAGTCATATGTACATGGTTGATTTAGATGCATTTGACATGTCCCCTATACACATATATATAAAATGTGCTAACAGATAAAAAAAACCGCAGACACATACAAACTAACTGAATAATTGTGAGAGCGCCCAATCTTAAAGTAGCCTGTGTGTTTGTAGTCTATTGTTTACTAATTGGCAAATAAATAAAGTGGTTTCAGGGTAGAAGCGAAATTTTCTATAGCATTCTTAATTTCTTCTGGGGAAGGATTTTCTCTGTCTCTTTGGTATCAAAAGGTGTCGAAAATGCCTTCGAACAACTCAACGGTCAGCCATCTTTATGAAGCAGAAACAAACTTAAGGTTGGTAAGCAAGCCCCATACCTTGCTTGGGACTTGTGCTTAGATTGACTATGTTTAAGAACGAAGTTGTGCTTAAGTTTTTTCTTGGAACGCATAATAACGTTCTTGTGCTTACAATGAAGTCTACTTAAAATCTAAGCACAAGAACGTTTTTAAGAATTTTCTGGGAACACAAAATAAGGTAAGTTTACTTAAATGCAAAGTCTACTAAAATCTAAGCACAAGAACGTGCTTAAGAATTTTCTAGGAATTGGACCCTGATTACTTTAATCATCAGTAGAAATACGCTATATAAAATAATATTTCGTATATTATTTTACAGCTACAATAACGAAAGAAAAGTATGTTTCCGTTTTATTCAAAAAGCAATTTATTGTCATTTCATGCAGAAAGATAATATGGTGTTAAATAGTGTATGCTTTAAATTATTATATAAATTAACAATTGGTATATTGATCGAGTATTTTACAGCGACAAATACCTTTCCGTTTAATAGAAAATTCTAATAAACAATTTATTGTTAGTTTGAGGGGAAAGTGCTACAGGTGGTAGATAATATCTAAATGTTGTTTAAATGCATATTTTCATAAGCTTATTATGCAGATAGATGTTAATATGGAAGGTCCACATTGATATAAAATAATATTTTGTGTGAAATAGGCGTCTTGAATACAATACAACATAGGCGGCTTATGAAATTTTGCAGTCTAGTAGTTTATTCATCCCTTGATTCTGAGAAATAAAAAACATTTTGCCATCAAAGCTGGTTTGAATACAGTTTGATGCAAAGTGAACGTACCCTTTACTGCTGGCCCAGTTTGCAATATTTTAGTATGTTTACGGTAATAACATGTCTTAAAATGCTTCTATTATAAAGGTCACAATTATTATCGTGCTACATATAAATATATATATAGGTATATGTTTGCTAATTTCGCTCGGTGTATTTCTTCACAGTCAGAAGATACTACATCTTGTGGTAACTATGTGTTGTGACATCACATCTTGCGGTAACTATGCTTGACATCATTAATTAGTATGCACAGATAGTTCTTTATATAAAAAGACAGAACTTCTTTTTTGAGTGTTATTAAAGTATTCTTATTGTTGTAGCATTGTAAATGTGCTAATTTCCTTATATTTTTTTTAAAAATTTGTCCACGTTTTTCGCTTAAAAATGTGGTATGTGTTTTCTTGAAAATTAATAAAAAAAATATGTTCTTCAAATAAACAGCTTCATTCTGGCCTTTATTTCATAGAAATTGATGAAAAACTAGAGCGGGTAGGATAAAATTGATATAATGCCGGCGGCCATATTTGATGACGTCATTGTGGAATAACCTACCACGTGGTGAGTGTCCACCCAAGTTCAAAATACTTACTTCGGCACCCACTAAACATTTCTTCAAATAATTCTCCCTACTCAAACTTTCCTACAGAACCATAGTCAGATGCTGGGTTAGATACCCTGGCGTTGACGATAGCATCAAACGGAACGAGAAGGGGTCGGCCGATTCTAATCTTACCAATGGAACTAGATACCCACATTCATCAGTAGTTGGTACCGACTCCCTATCTGTCCGCAATACATTTATGGTATCTAAATCCAATAGTTTTAGAGATATTTGCAATTTTTGATCGACAGCCGCCATCTTGGATTTGGCCACGCCCCCGTCCTTATTTGGACTCCGATTTTGGTAAACTTTCTTTTCCTTACTTAGGACATTATAATGAGTCAATAGAAAACAAAAAACCTTTTGTTGCAATTTGTTCTCCGTACGACATCATTTAGCCGTCGTTTGACCCGCCTATTATGATTATGGCGGTACAGAGATAAATTACGAATTGCACAATATTTACATTATAATTAATTAAAAAAATTTATTATATGATATCTGAGACGCCCCGATGTAATTTAGATCAGATATTTTGGTTTTAAAAGCAAATGGTTAATCTTTTCATTCATAACTTTACCTCTATCACGCCGTCCAAGTCCGGAAAATAACTGGCATCTGCCATTACTTCATGCAGGCCTGCATTATACCGAAAGTCACTTGTGCATCCTCCTCTTCGCGCAGGCGCTGCACAGCATATAACAACGTCATAACGCTAAACTCTTCGCGTGGACATTCCGTCTGTATATATTTCTATGGTTCTACACGGTATATGGTATGACATACGGTTCAACGTTCTACTAATACACACGGTACATGATATGACATAGGGATTATCGTTTTACTAATACACACAGTTTTTATAGGTTACAATCACTAGTTTTATTCTAAAAGCACGACGTTTCGACATATTTTTTTAAAGATTGGTTCTCAGAAAAGTATCTATCGGGTGGTTATTTCCAATAAAAGTATGGAAATTTTGGTATATATGGAAAACACTCATGGAGTGCATACAGGACAAAAATGTAAGGCTTTCCCTAATCGACAGCCCGTGACGTCAAAGGCTAGCGCTTGATGTATATGTTGATGAACTTTATGAAGAGTTAGACGCACAACACTTTCTGAGATAAAAATCACGGAAAAAGAAGCCGGCAGTGGATAATTCGAGAATTTAATTAAGCTTCGACATTTGTAATAAATAGTCGGCGATTAAAGACAGCATCGTCTTGTGTATGAATTGAATTATCCTCCTCCGAGAGAGAGGTAAGTCACGTGACACAAAAATGACCTGTTTTGGTCGATTTTTTTATAGCTAGGGTATTTCCTGGCAATTGCAATGTTTTGAGAAGGATTTGAAGCAAAAGTATGATAAATTAATTAGTTTGAATATGTTTTTAGTCCAAATATATCATCAAATCACCCAGTTTGTACCCGGGAATGTATCTTTAAATGGGAAACAATCATTGGTTTTATTGTAAAAAAGTTTCTTTTTTTTAAAACAGCTACGGATTTATTTAGGCGACATTTATCAAGCACAATAACATTTAACAAACTTGAGATCAATATCTACGAAATCCATAGTGAAGCGATCAAAATGGATTAAAAAAAAAAGTAACAAAATGAATCTAAGGGGTAAAAGAATATTTAACAAAAACAACAAGCCCAACAAGGTAATTAGCTTACTGAATAAACTCTAATGCATGAGTAGGGGGTTAAACTAGCATGAAGCCATTCAAAGGGTGTCATGAACAAACGGGGTAAAGCTGATGAGGCACAGATAGTAAGGCCATATACATGAAATTAAATATGATATGGATTTGTAAATACAAATATAACAATACACAAATAATGGACAGGTTTGGGAGAATCTATAATAGCGAAAACTTAACAATCAAAAGGGGGAGATTTTAATACAACCAAGAGTTCTAAATTGTCATAGATAAATTATATTATGCATACTAATAACATCATGATATGCCCTGGGGATGTAAAGCCCTAAGTTCCTATTAAGTTCAGGCGAATATCTTCTGATGTTTTTTGCTTCTAGGATCTTCCTGGTGTTCTTGTTCTGTTGGTTAGTGGTGAGTATTAAGACCTCATTCCATTTAACTCGATGTTGTGGGTGTTTCTGTAGATGTTCCGCTATGGCTGAATTATAAGTGGCAGCTTTGGACCTATGTTCTGTTATTCTTTTGTCAATTGGTCGTGTCGTTTCCCCAATACATGATTGATTGCAGGAACAAATCACTTGATAGACAACTCCTTTGGGTTGAATGGGGAGAATTGGTTGCAGCTTACCACTGGCTTCAGTATTTGTTTCAGGGTTGTAGGGACCGCGAATGTGGTATCGATGTTCGATTTCTTTAGTAGATTGTTCACTTTGTATGTTAGATTACCATAAAAGGGCAAGGTTATTCTGATGGGGGATTTTTCAGGTTTTTGACGATCTGTCCCAGTGGTTTTTATCGTTTCATTGATCTGCTTATTCACTAGTAAGGGGTTATAATTATTCAAGTTACAAAACACATGAATTCTGGTGCACAAATGTTAATTGCTCTGCGTGCTCGGATGGATATAAGGGCTTTTTCAACATAGTGAGGATGACTGGAATTGTAATTAATATATATATATATATTGGTCTGTGTGGGTTGGTTTGCGGTATATTTTTGTTTTCATTTGATTATTCACTTTTATAACGATAAGAGGATACTTGTCGAAACGTCGTGCTTTTAGAATAAAACTAGTGATTGTATCCCATAAAAACTGTGTTCTGTTAATGTATTTACCGATCGCTAAATGCCACTCAAAGATTATCACACGGTACCACACTGATCCACAGTGAATATTCGCTAGGCCCCGACAATCAATGATAAGGATGACATCGATGGGACTTAATGAGGTACAAATATTAACTTTTTTCTTCCGAAAAATTAAATTCTAAAACATTTTTTTTATGTATTAGAAAAATAAATAAAGACGTTTGAAGTATTTGTAGGTAAAAATTATTTCCTATTTTAGTCTTAATGGGTATTAAAATGAGTAAAAGGCGCCACTCTGCTCGAATCTGTAACGTCTTATGTAAACAATGCACGCGCCATTGAGCCAATGATTGAGGCCGCGTGATATCTTTTACAGAGATATTAGAAGATTTTCGTAATACTCTGTGAAACAGATTGACATAGGTTTTAAAGTAAATGAATTGAAATGAAATGGGGTTTAACGTCCTACTGTTCTGCTCCGAACTGGGCTAATGAAGACGGGCATACGCCATACAGTGTGCTATTAGTGAAATTTTGCCCGGACAGCGGCACTACGGCCTACTCTTATATCGAATTCCAACTGTCAAGGGATCTTTTACGTGCAGACCATTGTGTACTCGGGACTTTCGTTCCATCCAAACGACTAGACACCTGTCCTTGTCAGGCCCTCCGTCCTGCATCGCTGACAAGGGAGGGACCACGCCGGAAAATCTGGATGAACTTTCTCGGTCAATGCAGGGATCGAACACTCGACCTCCATGCTAGCGAGCCAGCGTCTTACCCACTTAGCCACGTGATCTCCGGGGTTTAACGTTCTACTAATACACACGGTATATGATTTGAAATAGGGTTTAACGTTCTACTAATACACACGGTATATGATTTGAAATAGGGTTGATCGTTCTACTAATACACCGGTACATGATATAAAATAGGGTTTATACACACGTTGGGTTACACCTATACTGACAAAGCCAAACCTAAAATAAACCTTTCAGTGTGTTTAAATGAACTATTGTTGGGATGCAATGACAGTCGACTACACAATTAGTGATACGAAGAAATATATTAATATATAAATATTTTATGTGGTTTGTGAAAATATAAACTCAGCAACAACCATGGTATAAAGTAAAGACAATCAATATCAGTTAGAATTTCCTCATGCGAGAAGAATGACGTAATTCGACCACAACATAATCAATCAAGCCATGAGTTGATTTTCTAGCTGATGTCGATAAACTTTATATGGATTATGTCATTGACTATGTTTTGGTATCAATGTTGTTAAAAGTAAAGTGATCAATGAATAAAGGTTGAAGTTATCCGGGCAAGAAGAGGAGATGAAGAGTAGTGCCAGGGCGTCACAAAGCAATCAAATATGCTCTAGTGATCTTTTTAAAAACGACTCTAAGGCAACAGTTCCAGTAATGAATGTTCCACCTAATGTTAAAACTCTAGCTGGAATCCACGGCCCAGTGCAGTCCTGTAAACAGATAGAAATAAGCAAAATTTGTTTCACGTCAAGTTTTCATCTAAAGAGCACAGATAATTTAAGGGCATGTGTTATTGGAATATGAATCCCGCCATGCTGAAGGATTCATTGTGGAGAGTTGGAGTTCAACACCTCGGTGATTCGCCAACATTAGGAGTTTATATACAACAGCTGAATGAGAATGATTGTAATATGACGTCATGCACAGCTGATCGTAATATAACGTCATGTAGGCCTACAGCTACAGCCGATTGTAATATGACGTCATGTCCAGCTGATTGTACTATTAAACTGGTAAATCATATTGATGACTGTAAATCTATAGTGAGACAATTTACAGGTATATTTACACCTGGTGGACATGCTCCCGGTTTACCTGAATTTGTTTACTGGAATAAATTACTGCATTACGGAAATGGTTTCCTGATCAACCACCATTTTACCATAGAGACTACGATTGCAAGAACCACTGTGACTTTTAGCTATATGTATTGACTGGTGTAATACACGAAGCAGTATATTTTTTTAAATTATTTATTAAACACCATAATTTCATTTGTCATTTAAAAATATATTATGGGAGATTAGATAAAGAGCTGACAGTTCTCACTATAATAGTTAAAAACTAGATACTGTAAAGGGAATTTGCTGAAAATTTCAGTCCAATTGATCCCCTATGAACCGAGATTTTCCACCTAGCCTCGATCATCATTACTAAAGTCGCTAGGATATAAAACATAGTCTCGATTATCTTTTTATTAATTAAATTATGAATGGAAGTCGAACACTAAATCGGAACCTAATCCAATAAACATAGTAGGCTAGCGATGCCATGGAGAGTTAATTATGGTCTGGAAAACTTAATACATTAACATGTCTAATTAATAATTTAAATAACATTTTGGGCCTAAAGAAATACCCGCAATAGGCAGATTTAGCTCTTGCATAATGCATGTTTAAAGTTTTCACAAGTTTAAACATGTTTTACTATTTACAGAGAGGTGGGGTTATCAATAATATCAGCTAGTTCATAATGTATAATGTGATATTAATATTGGGATATTTTGAAGTTAGGCAGCATTTATAGAGCAAGTATTAGGCCTTGAGGCACATAAGGACATCCGTAATAGTGTATTTCTTATAATTTATAAGAAATGAAATGGGGTTTAATTTCCTACTGTTGTATGGGTGAAATTTTGCACGGACAGCGGTGCTATGACCTTATATTATATCCAATTCCAACTGCCAAGGGATCTTTAACGTATATGCCAATGTTTACACAAGACGTCTGTACCTCCGTCCAGCACGCGACCTCCAGGCTAGCGAGCCATCGTCTTACTAAACTTAGCCACCGTGGCTCTATAATTTATAAGGAATTTAGAAAAATGGGATTTCAGTGTACACAGATAAAAAAAAAACTGGGTAAATAATGTTACAATAAACAAATCCTGCTAAAACAGAAAACAGTGACAATTTTAAAAAATCTGCTCTACAAAGTTAGTAACCCGTTGATTAAACATACATTATGACGTCACATTAATAATGACGTCATTGTATTAATCATATTAAACATACATTATGCAAAAGCTAAATCTGCCTATTGCAGGTCTTTCTTTCCGCCTGAAATGTTTTCTAAATTATTATTTAGACAATAATTAACTTATCCAGGCCATAATCAACTCTCAGTGGCATCGGATTTCTCCGATATTAAATAGATTAGAACAGTTCAGCCAGATTTTGATTTAAGGTAAAAATGGAGGAGCGAGACATAGCTTCCAACAACCAGTACGGTGATTGAGATTATTGCACACGTCTTGTCAAACCTTCAAAGGCTAATATCTTCGCTCGCAATAGATTAATTTGAATGAAATTTTCAAATTATTCATTTTACATTATGTATATAAACCGCTGACTTTGATCTATTAGTGTCGTATATTTATTTTCATTTATAACAGTTATTTGTTGCTAAGTCAACGATATCAACGTTACAGTGTGCAAAATTCTGTATATATTCCCTCGTAACCGGTAAATTAGGTCAGTAACAAGTGGTGTATACAATACAATGACATTATATATGTACACCTAAATATAACTCATTTGCTACAGGTAATATGTGAAAGGAAAATAACTGCACTATAAAGAAGTATTATGTACATTCGTATCAACCTGGTGAACGGTTTTGGTGGCCTGCCCCCGTATATTACCTGAGCTTAAATGGGTTTTTATTGGGACTATCTAATGCTGGGTGTATGTAGCTCGAAACATAGCGTTCTCATCGAATATTTTTTAACAAGCGTTCATGTATAAGAAATATTAGTCCAATTGACTGAGTTTATTTTTTTTTAAAAAAAACCGACAAATCAGAATACAATACAGACATTAACAGCACAATTAAAATAAAACATAAAAGCATGTTAGAATTCAATATTTGATATACATTAGTTTAAACAACTATATAAATATACTACTGAATCAATATGTTAAGATACATGTTAAGTTGATAAGGTTCCCCGGGATAATCCAGTCGTACATGCAAGAGGGTCTACTCGTTCGGATGGTATGAAAAGCTGAGGTCCCGTGCACGCGTAAAATAACTCTTGCTAGTCGGAGTTCGAAATAAATGTAGGTCATAGCGCCGCTGTCGGGACACAATTTACCTGTGTAATTAATTCATTGACAAAGATATATTACGAATAAAACGACCCATTTATGGTTGACAATTCCAAGAAAAGTCGAAAGCTTTAGAAAACAATGAACGGAAGTGGGATTAATCTATTCATACATTCACTACGAATACAAGGGCTCGTTTATTGTTGACAACTTTAAGAGGAGTCGAAAGCTTAAAATTCGAATACACGGAATAATGAATGTATAGATAAACATCACAAGCCAAGTAACTGCAACTCTACGGGGATACTCGATTGAACGTTCAAGAATTGTATTCTCTTAAACCCAAAAGAGCAACAATGGATTGGAAAGGGGGATTTTGGACTACAATGCATACGTGGAATGCATAAGATAATATCTCAACTAACCATGACAGCTGAAACATATTGGCTGTGTTTAATTACTACATGATTCTACTCACACCACCTCAGTTGTCGGGAATAACAGAACAGTAACAGGACTGAATTCCGCCCAACTCTATTGTGATTCTGTCAATTCAGAACGTTCTGGACTGACAATCGAGCATCCCTTAATATGTCCTTAAGACTGTTTACTTCTAAATACTGATTATAAAAATTGCGTCTTCTAAATAGTCATTGTATCCTTTAAGATTGGATAAAATCATTTCCATTGCATCGATCCGAACATCGACATGCCTAAGACCCGATGTTTTTATTTTGTTTTTGTATTTTCGATGATAACGTTTGCCTGAACTAGAAAACATTTCTCAGCTACTGAGCTCTGGCGTGACGCAAAATAATAGTTGCTACCATATGTAGTAGTGACATCTTTCCATTCATACAAGCTCGTCGTTCCTGAAAAAATGGTATTATCTTCTTTAGTGCATAATCTCGTTCTATCAGAGGCCTGAAGAAGTTCTAGTTTAATGCGGGCTGTCACTGATTGAACTGTTGGGTGATCACCTAGATATAAATATAAACCTATATTCACACGATCATTGTCTCTATTGGTGTCAATTCTTAGAAACCATGGTAGGTCATCTATTCGGTATACTGCACTGTCATACCTCCGCGCTATGTAAGGATTATACAACGTGAATTTATGTTGAAATGTTGGACCACGTAAAATGGACAACTTCCCAAGATAGCTAGATAGATAGACAAGGCTGACTTTACTTGTCTTGTATTCTGTCACAACACGAGGAAGACATGGTAAATCCGTTGAACATTTTTCTGCTTTTTCGCTTTTTATTTTTGGAAGAACATTTATATTTTCAACTACAGAGTTCTTTTTCAAAATTTGTTTCAAATGTTCAATGGTGGCTTCCATTTGCCGTGAGAGGTTTTTCATGTTTTCTATTATTTTATTCATCTTTTGCTCCTCCTCATCACACGTTGTCTCAACTTCCTTCTTAGATTCGTTCCCTAGAGCAGTTATAGCATCACATATTTTTTGTACCTGTTCGTCGATCTTCTTACAAGTTTCAGTTTTAGAATCTCTCATCTCAGATATCTTTTTATCAATGGAAGCTACATACCCATCAATTTTTTTATGGCGTTCCTCGAGTTCTGTTTGTAGTTTGGTCAGCTCTACCTTCACGGCTTCTGCACAGTCTTTCAACTGAGGGGTCTTGTGGTCTTTATGATTCGCCATCAAACATTTTAAACATATGCTCAGTGTACAAGTCTCGCAATAGAAGTCTAACTCCTCTGTTTCGTGCTCTGTACAAAAATGTCTCTTCTCCTGTAGTTTAACTTCTGTTTCATCATCTAAACTGAACACCGTGTGTTTGATACAGCCAGAAAATTGGTCGTGTTTATCCTTACAAGCATCACATAAATACTGACCACATTCTACACATCTGTAATTAGAATATTCTTCCTCGCATATATCACAGTTGATAACTTTTTCCCTCCTCTTCACTTTAACATATTCTTCTTCAATATAAAAATTATATGAGAATTCCGCCACGCCGCCTTTGGGAACAGCAATAACTTTCCGGCAAACCGGACACGAAAAGCAAGAATTCTGTGCAGTATTCTGAATGTGATTCTCTAGACATTTTTCACAAAAAGTGTGAAAACACGAAATAATTTTAGGTTTGGTGAAATTCTCTTGACATATACTACAAGTATCCCGTTTACGTTTTTCCGCCATGATCCTTTTACGAAAAAATATTCTATAACCCGTGACTAATTCATTTCGCAATATCTGATTTACTTCTCGGTACATCACATAAGGGAGGTTTACAATCCTGTGTTTGATCTGTACAGACTTGTTGTCTATTGATGGCGTGTTACTAGTACACTCTGTATATGGTATGAAATAGGGTTTAACGTTCTACAAATACACACGGTATATGATTTGAAATAGGGTTTATCGTTCTACTAATACACACGATATATGATTTGAAATAAGGTTTATCGTTCTAATACATACGGTACATGACATGTAATGGGGTTTAACGCCCCACTAATAGACACGGTACATGACATTAACTGGGGTTTAACGTACATTTCTACACGCGGTATAATATAGAATGGGGTTTAACGTCCTACTAATACCCACGATAAATTCGGTTTAACGTGCTACCAATACACACGATACTTGAAACATGGTTCAATGTCCTACTAATGGCATATAATGCACACGGTAACTGAGATGGGGTTTAACGTCCACACGATAAATACGATTTATCGAGCTACACTACTAGGTGTGTGTGTGTGTGGGGGGGGGGGGTAACGTCCTATTAATGCACCAAGTACGCGAAAAGATATGTGGTTTAGCGTCCGACTAGCAGACTATGTATATCGCATGAAATGGGGTTAAACATACATGACATGCTGACACAGCCAAACCTCCCTCAACTAACCATAGTGTGCTTATTGACGTACAGTATTCAAGGTGATATAATAACCCTGTAAACAATTCGTGGAATGTAGTTAGTTTTTCTTTCACTTTACACTGAACCTCTCAATTGTCACGTGAATGGTGGGCGACAATGCGTGTAGACGGGAGGCCTTTTTATTTCCTCTTACCCACCTAATTAGGGTAAGCACACGAATTAATGACGTAACTGAGCTCATTTTATTAACCGAAAGTATATAATCTTATATAACATTAACGGCCTAAATAAGAAATGCAATAGGCAGATTTAGCTCTTAAAGAAGGCGTATTTAAAGTAGCTAAGTCCGTAACTCAATATCATCCAAAATCTACGTCATTGAAAACACGATTTTTTTGCAATTTAAATCGGCATTGGTGTTGTTGTGATCTTACAGGAAAAGATGGGCTTCTGATATCCAATATTTAAAACAAAATAAACATTTTACCATTGGTACACGAATCGTGTACCATAATGCGTTTCAGCGCTATTTGTAACAAGGTGCTCAAAGAATGAGGCTAGACATATTCCACAAGTCATGTCAAACGGTGATATCATATTCTTATTTGGAGAGCATGCGCAATAAATAATATCGGTGTTGACTGGAATAACCAGACACTAGAAACGGACTTGCGGTTGAGACTTCTGGCGTATTTCGCCGAACATAACTGATGACAATTCACAGTAAAACGGACACGATTGAATGTAAAACAGTTTATATAAATTCATATTACATTATTATATGTGTTGCGACCCATTTGTCCCAATTTCTAGGTCCAAAATATTAGCGATTTAGCTCCTTTAAGTAACCCTATTTGTTCCCGAATCTGAACATCGTGTTTTAAAGTGACATTTTTACACACATGATCGTGTTCGTGTTTTTACTCATAGTAACCAGGCTCTTGTTTTTACCCATACAGTAACCAGTTTCTACAAACACGTCTATAACTAAATTGCCAAACAAAATGGCGTTTGTTTATATCAAGAGTGGTTATCACAATATCCATAAGCGTGTGAATTTCTCAATCAACTTTTGTATTCTTTTTTTTGCATCTAGATACTCAGTGTCAACGGAAGAGTGTTAATTGGTTTCTATAGCCTGAGAAACCCCACGAGGTTAGACAGGCGACCTTACGAATTTGTCACATACATTTGGGGAATCGAAACCACGCCAGTTGACTCAATGGCAGACCTTATGATGCAACGCGCTTGCGTTACCCGTTGGGTCATCCGACCCCCTGCATGTTCCTCGAAGCCAGTGCCGTGTTGTACCCATTTGAGGTATTAACCAACGATGACGATTCCTCATCCAAGTTGACCACTGAGCCAATATCGATTCTCCCGGAAAATAAGATCGTTAAAAATGCCAAACTTACAACTTTGGAAAAGGTAATTAATAAATTAAAAAGTGGAGCGGGAATTTAGGATATTAAATAGAGAGGTGTGCACAAAGAAATAAAAACAAGCACTGAAAATGAAATAGTAATACTTGCTATAAAAAACCTTCGTAGAATAGATGATGTTATTAAAAACTGACATCCAAACTGCGTTACGGAATGCTAAAAGGAATGTTGTTACGTTGGAAAAACAAACTAAATCACCACTTAAACAACGACTAGACTGGCCATCTATGACATCACTGCCATCACCATTGAAAGAAGTTATGAAAGTGATATCATAGATAACAATCTATGCCACGAAGGCTTCTTAGCAGATATTTCATTTACAGCCACGCACCCACCAACCTCAACCACGGTGCTGCCACGCCGTAACTACGCTCCTGTATATCCACAGGCTCGCTACGCTGTCACGCTGTTCTTGGTTTTCGGTTGTTCTCTGCTTCGAAGGCGAATGAGGACGGGCAAAGGCATTAAGACAAGCGATAGAGAGAGAGAGAGAGAGAGAGAGAGATAGATAGAGTCCGTGACATAGCGAGAGACAGCGAAAGAGAGAGAAGGGGTGGAAACATAGAGAGAGTTGGGGGAGAGGGTAGAGAGAGAAAGTACGAACACGGGACATGCCACCTTACTCCTTGTCACGTACAAGCGGGAAATCGATACCACGTGACTTGTCTCAATAACAGATCCTATGATCTCACTCGCACACGTACAACCACTAGACACCCCGCGCCTGCCTCGATAGAACGTGCGTTGTTTACATCGGACGTATAGTACCACAAACTGATCCGGTGCTTTTTCTCATTTTACCCCTTCGCATACTATATATTTTATGATGTAATTGAGACCAATTCCATTCCAAATGTAAATGCGAGCCTTCTTGCCACTCTATAGAAGTTAAATCGCATATTGGGGTGGGGTGGGGGTGGGGTCGATTGGTTAGCACGTGCGCACTGTATAATAAGGCCTGTCATTGACTCAACTGGCGTGGTTTCGAATCCCCGGTTGTACGTGACAAGGAGTAGGGTTGCCTGTCCAACCTCGTGGGTTTTCTCCGGGTCCTCCGGTTTCCTCCCACTGCTAAAAACCCCTACGCGCAAGCGAATTATTGAAATAAAATTAAAGCATATGTTAGTCCCAAAATGACCTAGTCTGTGTCGATTGGACGTTAGACCCCATTTCTCTCTGTCTCTTTCTCTCTTGAATGACATTGACAGGTCTCAAACTAGGATCAATTTTTAGGGAGACGTCAAAATAGGCAGAAGTGAGGGAAACCTAGGGAGACAACAAGGATAGATCAGATTTTACAAATTGCAACGGTAATGGTACCATTTAAAATCACATTTATATCAGCAAACTAAATCTACATTTACATGTATCAATGATATTTGGATTTAAAGCTCAAATTGGCAGCCATCTTAAGTTTATGCAAATTAGAACGCTACCAGGTGTGTGTGAAAGAGAAAGTGGGTTTAACGTCCACTCGATACAACCCTACCAGATGTTCGATTTACGGTGGCTTTTGTTCGTACGCGCATAATATCCTACTGAATGATAATCAAAAGATAAAGTTTGTAATTTTACTAGCCTGTGAGTGTAACTTACTGTTAGTTAAGGACAAGGTAAAGCGACACCAATGTGTTGCCAACTATTCTCGACACCAACAAGGCTGAACATATTATTTTCCAACATTGAATAGTTGCCCTGGGATACAGAAGTCCACAATAAACTATTTGACCATCAGTGCCCCTTTAAATCGTACACCCACGTGTTATCATGTAAAACTTTACCTTTACCTTAAAGATACATTCCCGCGTAAAAACTTTGTGATTTGATGATAGATTTGGACTAACAACATATTCAAAGTAACCAATCTATCAAAAATTTGCTTCAATTCCCTCTCAAAACTTTGTATTCGCCAGGTATGCCTATAGCTATGAGTAAGCTGTTGTTAGACGCAATGTCTGTCAACTTAGCTTCATTGTGGGAGGGTCCATTTTTCAGAATGTATTTGTCATTACTTACTGTACATTTACCTAAGTAAATTCTTAATTATTTATGTCAACTTCTTTTTCCGCCGTTTAATTGCAGGGTCTTTAGGACGTTGACACCCCTCAATATTCCCAAACCCGCCTAACCATTTGATCAAGAAATAACAACCGCTCCCTCACTTATGCTGGCACATAATAAGCTGGCAGATAACCGTCGGGTTGCCAGTTAGCGATACCCTGACAATTTTTCCCAGTGCTTGCCCCATGGGTGTTTTATGGGTAATCCAGTATTTTTATAGTAAGATTGGGTGTCTATACTTCTCATATATACCAAATTTGACATACTTTTATTGGAAATAAACACACGATAAATACTTTTCTGGGAAAGTATCTTTAATCTGACTTTAATTTTCCAAAGATTTGTCTCCTTGTTGAAGAAATGATTCGAATTTATCCAAGTAAGAAAAAGTTCAGGCGGTAAATTTCAGTAATACATGTTACATCTGTTATACTCTTGACAACAACACAAATTAATAGTTCTAACTCTTTATGTTGATATCAAATAATAACGGTACACTATAATTTATCTTAATTACGTATTCACATATGGTTTCGAGGAAGGAATTACAAACAGGATATAATGAGCATTCTGAAAGAATAAACTTAACAATCATAAGCCAAATAAAACGCATTCAGAAAGAAAAAAAAACTTTGATAATAATCTCAATGGTAATTGAAGGGAGATAACTCTTGTTCAACTACTGGTGGCAGACCACCATTAATTTCCCCATTGACTTCAATGTTAATTCTGGCCTCTTTGCCCACCTCCAACTTTTCCCCAAATTTTCGTTGGGCTGAATGCTTTTCCCCACAGACAGAGGAACAAATGGTCATGTCTTTGCACTAAAATTTGTATGAGGTTGACCAAAACCTAGCAGAAAATGTTAATTCAAACCCTTTTCGTCCATTCTAGAGCAAAAAATCAACAAAAATCGGCATGCAAAAGGGGAGAAAAGAGAGAGAGAGAGAGAGAGAGAGAGAGAATTGCTATAAATAAACGAACTACAATTCCGAGATGATGAAATTTAATGGTGGTCTGCCTCCTACTGACTCGTTATAAATATTCAGCGGTGTCGGGCTTTATAACATACATCTACATACATATATCCATAACTAACTAGCTTATTACACTAGATCGACAAGAATACATAGTATATGAACTAACATTAATATTACAAAGCTGAATCCTGATATAAGATAGATTTGTATGAATTTTGGGTGACTCTCTAACAATGAACAATACCTCGTCAGCTTACCCACTTTTCATAACAAATCAGCAACAGATCATTGACAAAATACATAATCTATACTATAATATGTTTCACTGAATATTAATATAATAATATATTTGATTTTATCTCTGATCTATAGAAATCGATATAATTATAAAAGAAATTGGATGGGCGACTGTGTAGGAAAGATGGCGACAAGAGTAAGTCATGTGCTTACAAAACCTGCGGGAAAATTAGCCCCACCTCATTAAAGAGACAATCCTGAAACTAAGGATAATAAGTGAATATGAACAATAAAATATTCTAAACTGATCATATATTCACAACATATAATCATCACTTTTGATTAAGGATACATTGTGGAAGATTTGATTAAGAGCTGTCAATTCTAACTATAATAATTAAATAATAGATACTGTAACGGGAATATTCTGAAAATTTCAGTCAAATTACTTCACTCTAAGTCGAGAAATAACTCACTTTAAAAATCTTGTAACCTCGATTATCATTGTTGCCGATTTTATGAAAATAAAAAAAATTGCGTTTATTCATCAACGGCTGATCAACCGTAGATCGGATTCAAATCTAATGAAAATCGAAAGCATCAGATGGCATCGAAAGTTGATTATGGCCTTGTCATATTAATAAATTTTTAATTAATAGTTAATATAACATTTGAGGCCTAAAACAAAACCTGCAATAGGCAGATTTATCTCTTGCATAATGTATGTTTAACTACTATATTCGTCAACATAAAGCAAATAATTCATTTTAATACATTTTACAACATATACAAAACATTAATTATGACTTGGACACCTTTGCTTTATTATAACCAAAATAAAATGTGTTTGCCATTAGGGTATTTAGAATCATGTTCATATTCGTATAAAAGCGTATCATCAGTAAGGAGTGTAAAATACTCGTAGTTATAATCATCATCTCTATCTTTATTTATATTATAGCCACCATAACCATCATCATCATCATAATCATTACAACAATCCTCAATATTATCTACGTAGAAATCTTTAGGATTAAGAACATCTTTTAAGAGAATAAATTCGATTAATTCTCCAGGCAGTTCTAGATCAATAACCTTCTCCTTTATACCCAATCCTAACTTCTGTCTAACGATTCTCCTACACTGAGACTTGAGAGATATATTACAGCAGTAGTTACTGAATATTTCTCGGTGTCGTGAGTGGAATGTGTTTTCTGGATCATGCTCATCTTCATCCCGGAAATTTAAATGTTGTAATATTTCCTCTTCTGGTACCCCTCTGAGATTTAAAAGTCTTCTCATATTATCTTTCTCTACATTTGTATCTTCCTTCTCAAAATTTAAAGCCGTTACAACTTCTTTTTCTGGGGCTCCACTCAGATATAACAGTTTTCTCAGTGTATTCCTCTCTTGACTGTTAAATTCCATCATATCGATCTGGTTATAACTACTTTCAACAAAAGATGTAACAAGAGACTGAAGACAACAGTTTTCACTAACTAAATATTTAATAAAACTAACAGCCGTATGTGGATCCCAACAACGTGGAAAACACAAGGTTGCTTGGATCAGTGTGCTACCGTTAATACACGGTAAATTGAGAAGCATATTATCTCCAGCAGATACGAGTTTTTTAAAACTTAGATCAAACACACTCTCACAAATATCAAGATGGCGTAAAGCAGATTTTCCATTGTAATTAACCATTGCACCAGCATTAAGTAACTTCCTTATAAGAAATCTATCGTTTTTCATTGCCGCCATCATCAAGGCAGTTCTACCCCCTCTATCTGCAATATTAACATCTCTACCAACAGCAGCCAGTAAAGTATCAACACACTCCATGTATATCGGATATATTTGTCTACAGTAATTCTCAACCACGTCATTTTCCTGTCTGTTATTCAAGGCATCTTTAACCATGGTAAATCCAATGATACACAGATGAAGAGCTGTGTGACCATGGTTATTCTGTGCATTGATGTCTATTCTGGGATGACGTGTGAATAGTTCTAAATATTTACTATTTAATAACAGGGCAGCTATCATAATAGGTGTGTTGGTTTTAGAAGATGGATGGTTTGTATCTAGCTCGTCATTAAACAACCAGTTAAATTTATCTAGAGAATAATCATAGTTTACTCTAGCTAACAGATGTAGCAAATTTTCTCCGTCAGTTGTAACACCATTAATAATCAACCTTAATCCCATGAAATAATTGAACAGCTCCAACCTCTTACAAGCAAGAATCTGGTGTAATAATTTAACCCCATTGTTAGGTGACATCAGTGCATCGCGAGAATAAAGTTTAAATATATTAGTACAATTAAACACGTGGTATTGAACACAATAACTACACGCTGTATTACCATTATTATCTGTTAGATTAACATCAGAATGAGGAATCATCATTTTTAAGATACTGATATCAGCTTGGTTTCTTGTATAGTACATTAATGGAGTTTGTCCTTCATTGTTTTGATGATTCACATTACAACCAGCATTGATCAATGCGGCGATCAATTCATATTGTAATCTGAACAAGATATCTTCTTTCTGAAATAAATCTAAGTTTGACATGTTTAATTTTCTACCTTTATAGAACAGCGGAGTGTTGCCATCAATGTCGACTTTGTTTACATCTACTCCCATGTTTATCAAAGTTTTAACAACCTGAGTACAACCGTCTGAATACTGGTCTATATCCGTATTCTTATCCCTACCCTTGCCCAATTCGTATATATTATATAATACACACTGCAGAATATTATGGCCTTTAATATCAACATAATGTACAGATGCACCATGATCTAACAGATATGTCACAATGTTATACAACATTTCATGAACGGCTATAAATATAGGGGTCTGTTTATATATATTCAGATGGTTGACCTCTACACCAGCTTCAACTAATTTAACCACACAGGTTAACAAACCATCCACATCCCCTTTATTGTAACTAGCACCATCTAAAACTAGGTGAAGTAGATTGTTCTGTGTATTTGCCTCAAGGTAATGAACACGTGCACCATTTTCTAACAAAGATACAATAACTTGATACAGCCTTTTCCTAGCAGCTATAAATATAGGCGCCCGTTTATCTTTATTCAGGTGGTTGACATCAACACCAGCTTCAACTAATTTAATCACACAGTTTAACGCAGTATTCCCCTCATCCTCCTTAAAATAATCTAAAATTATGTGAAGTAGATTATTCTGTGTATTTGCCTGAAGGTAATCTACACGTGCACCATTTCCTAACAAAGATATAACAACTTGATACAGCCTGTTACTTGCAGCTATAACTAAAGGGGCCTGTTTATCTTTATTCAGATGGTTCACATCTATACCAGCTTCAACTAATTTAACGACAAAGCTTAACAAAGTATCCATATCCCCTTTATCATAACCAACACTGTTTAAAACTACATGCAGTAGATTGTTCTGTGTTTTTGGTTCAAGGCAATGTACAGATGCACCATGACTTAACAGATATGTCACAATGCTATACATCATTTTATGAGCAGCTATAAATATAGGCGCCTTTTTAGATTTATTCAGATGGTTGACATCTACACCAGCCTCCACTAATTTAATCACCAAGTTTAACAAACTATCCATATCCCTTTCATCATAACCAGCATCATCTAAAACGTTGTTTCTCAGATCATCCATTACATAACTACCTAAAACTACGTGTAGTAGATTGTTCTGTTGTATATCAATGCAATGGACTTGTGCACCATGTTCTAACAAATATATCATCAATTGATGCATCTTGTTCCTAGCAGCTATAAAGATAGGGGTCTGATTATCTTGATTCAGGTAGTTAACATCTACACCAGCTTCAACTAATCTAATTACACACTGTGACAACTCATCACTGTTCCCACTAGTGTCGTCTGTTGATGTGGACCTGTAATTATGTAAAACTAAGTGTAACAAATTGTTATCTTTATCATCAATATACTGTAAATCAGCACGACGATCTATCAGATCTATAACAACTGTATACAGTCTTTTGTCAGCAGCTATAGATATAGAGATCTGGTTATGTTTATTCATAGCGTTGACATCTACACCAGCTTCAACCAATTTAATGACACACTGTAACAACTCCTCTTTCGTTCCACACGTATGGTGTGACAACGTGTAACTATGTAAAACTAAGTGTAATAAATTGTTTCCTTTATCATCAATATACTGTAGCGGTAAATCAACACGATGATCTATGAGACATATAACAACGTTATACAATCCTTTTGTAGTAGCTATAAGTATAGGGGTCTGATTATCTTTATTCAGAGCGTTGACATCCACACCACATTCAACTAATTTAATAACACACCGTAACAAGTCATCGCTGTCCCCTTCATAACCACCTCTGTGCCCAAGGTAAGTTGGCGTGTAATTATTATAAACTGCACCTAAACCTAATAACGTGTTCTGTTTATAATAATTATTAAAGAAATCACCTAAACCTAATAACGTGTTTTGTTTATAATAATTATTAAACACATCACCGATCATACGATTGCCCTCTGTTGATGTGGACCTGTAACTGTGTAAAACTAAGTGAAATAAATTGTTATGTTCATCATCGATATATTGTAGCGGTAAATCACCACAATGATCTGCCAGATATATAACAACGTTACACAATCCTTTTGTAGCAGCTATACATATAGGGGTCTTATTATCGTGATTCAGATGGTTGATATCTACACCAGCTTCAACTAATTTAATGACACACTGTAACAACTCATCTCTATTCCCTATGCGGTGTCCTGAAGTGTAACTATGTAAAACTAGGTGTAATAAATTGTTCTGTTTCTCATCAATATACTCTATCGGTAAATAACCGATATGGCCTATAAGAGATATCAGAACTTTATACCAGCCTTTCCTAACAGCTATAGGTATACATTCATTCGTTTCTTGAAATGACAATCTTGCCAGTACATTAGATATATGACCATGTTTATCAGCCTCTTTAAGTTCTTTCACTAATCTGAAATGCAATAAAGACGTTTTAGGTTTAATTACAACATAGTTAAGACAAAGTATTTGGACCTGGTGGCGCTACAGCGAGCAAACGGGCCCAAACGTGCAGAAACCGGTGTGTTACGTGACGCAACAGAAAGAGAGAGAATGAGGTGGGGGGCTTTGGTTTAACTCCTACTTGAAACAAACTAGGTCATTTCGGGACTAACAGGTTATTCAATTTTATTTTAATAGTTCGCTTTGGGGTAAACTGCAGTGGGTTGAAGCCCGGGGGACCAAAGAAAACCCAAGAGGTTGGATATGCGACACTACCCCTTTTCACGTACAAGCGTGGAATCGAAACCACGCCACTTGATACAATGAGAGAAGTTTAACCGCTCGTACCCCACACTGTAGTCTATAGTGGTATTAACCCTAGTAGTAACGGCCATGCCATGGCAAGACCGTAGTAAACCATGGTGGCACAATAATTAACCCGTAATCTACATTGCTTTCCCGCCATAATGGCCCCGGTTCTCCCCGTAGTAAACCATGGTAGCGCAATAATTAACTCGTAATCTACATTGCTTTCCCGACATAATGGCTCCGGTTCTCCCCGTAGTAAACCATGGTAGCGCAATAATTAACTCGTAATCTACATTGCTTTCCCGCCATAATGGCTCCGGTTCTCCCCGTAGTAAACCATTGTGGGACAATAATTAACTCGTAATCTACATTGCTTTCCCGCCGTAATGGCTGCCGTTCTCCCCGTTTTGAGATCCTGGAAAAACTGTGGCTGGAAATTTGACCGTAGTCTAAATACTTTATACATTATAATCTAAATACACCAACCTAACGCGTCGTACATTGATCCCTATTAGTAATCTAAATACATCAACTTAACACTTTATACATTGATCTCATAGGCAATGAAAAATTCGACGACCTTTTTTTTCTATTAACGTTTAGAGAAAAAATATAACTAACTTATTTCTATGAGATCCACACTGCCCGAAAAGTATTTTCTCGTCTTTTTCTTGTCCACTGCATATGCCCGAAAATATGACCGAAGCTCTCTTATGATAGGTATGCCCGAAAAAACGGTATTGCCCGAAAAACGGGCATCGGGCCGGAAAGCGGCAGAGGAAACTAGCAGTAAACGCGTTTGCGACCGTCAAATATTCCAAAATTTTCTTGGCGGGTCATTCGCCTCTCAAAGAAAACTGGCGCCGCTGTCTATAAATCCGAAATTTTTCGGGCATTTCTAGTTTTGCTTCCCTAACTGTCACCGAGCCCTAATAAAACACTAATTTTACTTTTCTTGTAATTGAATATCACGAATTTGTACGGAGTTGACTATGGATTAAAACATTTTGTCTGGAACCACTCTACTTTGTGCGACATTTTTCAGGCATCGATTATTATTTGTGAATGCAGATGCAACAGTCTGATTGGATGGTTAGAATTCAGAGTGGGATTTCAGTTACAAAACCATTGGATACTTTTGAGTTGCTTACACGGGCTAGAATAGCAGAAAACTCATTTACGGTGATTAAATTTTCAAATTTTTCTCCGGGAGGGTGAGGCCTCCATATACCGCGCGACGATTGATTGGTTGTTTGGAATTCGGGTCAGCCAGGTAGGCTATATTGGACCAAATTGAAGTTGCTGTATTCACAGACTGGAATAACAGGAAAACGCGTTTGCGGCAGTTACATTTTCAAAATTTTCTCCCAACGGTCCCGTCTTCGTTGACTGTAAACGATTGATTGGAATTCGAGTCAGCCACCTTAATAAGGCTATAATATATATTCGACCACTTTGAAGTTGCTTTGTTCACCGGCTGAAATAGCAGGAAAACGCGTTTGCGACAGTTAAATTTTCAAAATTTTCTTCTAACGGTCCCGTCTTCGAGGACTGTAAACGATTGATTGGAATTCGAGTCAGCCAACTTAATTAGGCTATATTAGACCGCTTGAAGTTGCTATGTTCACTGGCTGAAATATCGGGAAAACGCGTTTGCGGTAGTTAAATTTTCAAAATTTAATCCTAACGGTCCCGTCTTCGAGGACTGTAAACGATTGATTGGAATTCCGAGTCAGCCACCTTAATTAGGCTATATTAGACCACTTTGAAGTTGCTTTGTTCAACGGCTGCAATAGCAGGAAAACGTGTTTGCAGCCGTCAAATATTCCAAAATTGTCTCTTTGGGGGAGGGGAGGAGGTATACAAGGTCGCTGCTGTCTGTAAACCCGAAATTTTTTCGGGCATTTCGGGTTCTGCCCCCCCTAACTGTCATCGAGCCCCTACGCCTATGATTGATCTCTATTAGTAATCTAAATACACCAACCTAACGCGTCATAAACATTGACCTCTCCTAGTAATCTGAAACGTATTTTACACTGGATAGCAGGGGCTAATTGTACGGGTGTGTATACCAGCATTTCTATTGGGATTTTCATTCAAATACAAATCGTAGCGGTCTATCGATCACCTATTTTTATATGATCCACATGAACTGAATCGAAACTTTAGTTTGGAATAAAAACACTAACCTGTCACAATGCAACATTAATTCATAAGCATTCATCTTGTTTAATCTTCCCACCAACTGTTGTACGTATGGAAGACCAAACAGCTCTTTATTCGGTGTCCTTAATTAATTTTCTTCATTTGTTGTGGTATTTCGATATTTGTACACTAAAATTAGAATTTGCATTTTCAAATCAATATTTGTTTTACAAATCAGACATTCGTAAAATCTATTTTGTTTAATTTAATTGTATTTTAATATAAAGATAAAATTTATATTAGAAAATCCCCCCCCAAAAATAGCTTATATTTACATTTCATCATAGACATACAACAAAAAACAGGTATCGAACAACAAATTTACAATAACAAATCTACAAATAAAAATCTTGCAAAACATTTCTTCAAAACTATTTCTCGAAATTCATCGAACCGGAACATTATGACGACATGAGCCGAAATAAAACTGGCATACAAAAAGTCACCATACAATAAAGTATAATCGAGCAATCATACTATAAGAAAATTCGTTCGATGACCCTGACTTTAGTGAAATCACGTGCGTTATGTTTATATATATATGTTTATAGAAAACTAATTCGCTTAAACTGAGGACGTGGATCGGGCTATGAACGTGCGTTTCAGATCACCACAAGAGTAACATACCAACCTGACGTTTCTTTTGCTGCTTAGTATATATATTGGTTAATCTGACCTAGCATTAAATAAAATAAATTAAAAGTAGTCTTATTTTAGTAATTAGGTTATATTTTGAAAGCGAGATATTTCTTTGGACAAACGAAGAGGATTTTATCTCTTCTAAATTATGTCATCATGAATGTGCCAGTAAAATAGCTAATACTCGTATATTCAAAGAGCGATAGACAAATACTTTCCGGCGAAGCATTACACGATAACTGGAATTTGGTATCAAGGTCCATATTTTAATGTTGAAACAAGATCATTGAAATATATTGAAAATAATGTCCAATTACTTTATTCTGGGCGAAGTTTGATGTTTTGAGAAAAATTAGCCTAAAGAGTCTCTGTTGTCCCGGTAATAGCAAATTGTCTCGAATATCCATTTAAACGTTGAATTATCAATGAACTAATCCATTTAATACCACAACCATCCGATTTTCTGGAGAGTTGATTATGGGCGTGACATATGACAAATGTCTACATAATACCTTATCACATTTGAAGCCAGAGAAAAGACCTGGAATACTCAGATTTAGCGCTTGCACGATGCATTCTTTACGATAGGTAGAATTCTTTGTAAAGTAATAAGAGTAGGCCGTAGCGCCACTGCCCGGGCATAATTTCCCTCATAGCATACTGTATGGCGTATGCCCGTCTTCATTATCCCAGTTCGGAGCAGTAGGACGTTAAACCCCATTTCATTTCATTTCTTTGTAAAGTCACTTTGAAATTAATCTAATAATTAGATTATAGCTATACATACTAGGATTGAAAGTGTGTACAATTATTTGATTTTTGGTTAATTCGGCATTCCATATTTTAAGTGACTGTAGACGGTTTTCAGTATTTTACTCAATTTAGACAGATACAATCCCATGATCACTCTGTTTACGACTGATGCTTGGTTTGGATGAATGGATAATGTTTATTATAATTTAAATATATACAGATTTGGTTAATAATATTTACGCTACCTGTCAAACTACAGCTCGATCGTTCATATTTCTGTTCACAATATCCATCTTCTTGACTAACCACATAAGGTATATTTTTATCTGAAAAAAAACATGGATATATTGTATAGCCGTTTCTATTTATATTATGAGAAAACCAGAAAAAGTAAAAAAGTAAAAAAGGTTTGATTTGGGGATTTAATACCTAATTTGGTCAACAAACACATTCAATTACTATTAGTATCTTGACCATGAAAATAGCATATGACAAATGTGTTTATTAACCCAAAGTTCATTTCATGCATCATATTATCACATATTTCCGTTGTTCCTCATGCTATTTGCTTGTCTATCAATGTGTAAACAATAATTAGTCAAGGCTAAAATTCTCACTATACGATTAACATACAAGATTACACATGATTAACAATCTGCTTCAAGAATAAACGTATCAAAGAAAAACACAAATAAACAAAAAACAAAATCAAACATCGCATGCAATTGCTCTCCAAAAGTTCATCACTGTCCTATAGTAATTCAATTTAACCTAAACACATAAAAATATACATGTAACTGTAAATGTTCATTGATTCTTCAAGTGTCCTAATTTCAAAATACTATAACACTGCACTTAATATGTTTTAATGTTCAGTTTCCACTTTAAATGTCTCAGGAATTCTTAATTTGGTACATGGTATCTCGTCTTGGATTTCTGTCGGTCTGTTTTAGCTACCATAAGTCCTGTTCGTCTAAGCAGAGTATCTCGTTAGTCATAAGTCTTCTGACTTCTAAGAATTTCCTTCACTCTTCTGTGATGATTGGTTGGGTGGACATTTCATCCGTCAAATCAAAACATGTCAGACTAAGAACTAACAATTCTAAATATAAAACTGTATTTTAATATTAATCTGACATTATTATATATATCTAAATCTTATTATTAACTCTTACTCTTAATTAAAATTAAACCTTCATATAATTAATAATACACTTTGATGTGTCTCTTTAAATAAAGCCGCAAATTAACTTTGTATTCTTGCCCTTAACTATCAAATTTACAAGTTTGTATTCCATTGTCTATAAACATTATCCAGTGTTACATAAACATTTCATTAGTGTTACATTATCGAGAATGCCAATCAAATATAGCCACTGTATGAATGACATTCCATTTTATCTAGAACTATGTCCAAGGCCCATGGTGCACACCCCACTCAACTGGACACTTAGCCTATATGTTTATCTAAACCTTATACGTTTTAGTCATTAATATATCAGCTACCCACATATAATGTCAGTCACAAATAAATCTGGAGCCACCGTGCGGCAGTGGGTAAAACGCTGGCTCGCTGTGTATTCAAAAAGGATTTCAGGCACAAGATGTTATCATTCGATGGGGCTGTTCAGGCAGTTTTAAAAAGTTAGTCCAGTTTAGTAACGCTCTTAATGGAAGATAATACTCCAAAATTGCTGGTCTGCTTAAATCTATAACTTCTGTAAAATTCCTTTATTGTACATATTTTCTTTCTGGTGTGTTAACTGTTCTTTGCAGATTAAGTAAATGTTATCAAAAACATGATATTTTCTTCAATCCACCATTGATCAGTTACAAAACATTGCTTCTGGAACTTCTGGGTCTAATTTCTCCAAATTTCCAAACTTGTTACCAAGAGACATTATGTTTGATCAGTTTGGTGAAGCCTCATTTATTTTTGACGATCAAATGATCAGAGATGGCTTCAAGCAAAGGGGTGATGCACAAACTAGTTGTAATAAATTTATTGTAAATGTGATAGATAATTTGAATGCTCGTTTTGAAGAGAAGGGAAATACTTAAACTATTTGATGTAAATAGTAAAATAGATGTAGCATTTGTTGATAACATTGTAGATTATGGGAATTTTTTTAAACTCGATACTTTTACCTTGTCTGACATTTCGAAATTATGTTCAATTGTCTGACTTAGGTGGTGTAACTATTACTGCCATTTGTAAATTTACCTTACTTAAAAATGATATATTCTCAAGTGTTTGTGATATCAGTAAGCGCTGTCTCACAATTTCATGTGGCAACTACAGACTGTAAAAGAGGATTTAGTAGGCGAAATATTATTTAAAAAAAAACAAATGCAGAAATTCATTAAAAACAAATACACTGTGCAATTCATTAAAAACAAATACACTGTGCAATTCATTAAAAACAAATACACTTTGCAATTTAAAGCTATTTAGTATTGGAAAAGTCGTTACCCCAAATTTTGAAAAATCTTTTAAAGCAGAGAAGATTTTTGTAAATTTTAATATGTATATTGTATATGTACTTATGTAAACAAAAATGTAATACAAATTACTGAAAAGTTTTATAGATATTTTTATTTAGTTATTTATTTTTTTTTTGGCGGAAAAAATATATGGCTAATAAATCAAAATGAAAAGTTGACGAAACCCAGGGTGAGCAATGCTGAAGGTTGCGTGTTTGATCTCTGCATTGGTTGAGAAGAATCATTGGGATTTTCCGACGTAGTTTCCCCTTGTCAGTGGTGCAGGACGGAGGGCCTGACAAGGACAGTTGTCTAGTCGTTTGTATACATTAGCGTGCCCGTAAAAGATCCCGTGGTAGTTGGAATTCGATATAAAAGTAGGCCATAGTGTCGCTGCCCGAGCAAAATTTTACTCATAGTACACTATTATATTCAAGATGGTGCCCATGTGGTTGGATATCGTGTGACATAAGGACACTACAACTATTCTGGTGAACTAATATTTGTAATTTGCCTGGAATTTGAAGAAAATTGTAACAATTTGTGATTTTGATATAATTTCAAGAGAATCTTCATGGTATAGTTCACTTAATTAACTAATTTCAAAGCTGTCTTGATAAATCTACTTACTTAGCTTTTACTCTCAGACTGTTTTGGTGGTATTTAGTTCAGTATGATCACATACTCAGTAAAGCAACTCATGGTTTTTATCACCCACCTACTGTTCGAAAAATACCTAACTCTACATTTGATTGCATGAAAGATATTGGAATCCTGAAGAGACTCCTTGGAAAACGCTCTGGAATCAAAAAACAACCCCAAAGTAAATTTGTCTCTAAATGTCTTAAAATATCCAAGATTCGTGATGGTGTTGGTTCTTCATCTATTAACCGTACTGAACAACCCATAGTTTCAACACAGTTCATTGGTTTTCAATCTGTTTAGCCAGAGCAGCCCAAGAAAATAATTCTTCAGTCCAAACCTATATCTTGCTCATTAGATACCATACCCACGCACTTCCTGTTGAGTATCCTGGATACTATTTTACCAGTTCTGACTAGAATCGTCAAAAAAGTCTTCAATCGGGAACGGTACTACTTAGCTTCAAAACGGCAGTCGTTCAGCCTTTAATCAAGAAGTCCACGTTTGACCCACAACTGTTCAAAAATTACCGCCCTGTATCTATCTAACATTCCTCTCAAAGATTCTAGAAACTAATTGACTACCTAAACTAGTCCGGGCTCTTTGACGAGTTACAGTCAGTCTATCGCCCCGCACATATCTAACCAGTCGATATCAGTATGTTGACATTAATAACTCTTCGTCAAAGCAATTGCAACTAGCCGATAATCTCGCAAATTCAACAAGTCATTATTTTCGTTTTTCCGGAGAAAACACAACTTACGTCCCTAGATTTAACCAATGGTTCCATTTTGCTTATGCTAGCCGTTCTTACCATAACCTAACCTTATATTCAAAGGTTGAATTACTCATTTTAGCCTTTACTTGGTTATCACCATAATTTAGGAATTATACTCAAAAGTTGCAGATTTTAGCTGACTTAGCTAATCACATATATGGACACAACAAACACAAATTACGAGCCCAGCAGAATGCCAACCAAAAAGATTATGATGTAATCACGCACAAATTTTACCAGGAGACACCATTAATACTTTATTTTGTTCCGTAATCCGTTTCGTTATTATTGCTTATATACTTAAAATTCAGTAACCTAGTCCATACAGGCTCACTTTAAAGGAGCTAAATCGCTAATATTTGGGACCTAGAAATTGACACAAATGGGTCGCAACGCATATAATAATGTAATATGAATGTATATAAACTGATTTACATTAAATAGTTTCTGTTTCTATTCTACTTTCTAATCAGTTTTGTTGGCGAAATCTCAATCGAATGGCAATCTGTAGCGTCTGGTTATTCCAGTCTACACCGATAGTATTTATTGCGCATGCACTCCAGATAAGAACATGGCGTCACCATTTGACATGATATATGGAATATGTCTATAGCCTCGTTCTTCGAGTCCCTTGTTACAAATGGCGCGGAAACGCATTATGGTACACGATTCGTGTACCAATGATAAAATGTTTATTTTATGTTGGATACCAGAAACCCATCTTTTCCCGGTAAGATCACATCATCAATGTTGATTTAAATTGACAAATAATTCTTGTTTTTAATGTCTAAGACTTTGGATGATACTGAGCATTATTTGGTCTGTTAAACAAATTTACATGTTCAATTGATTATATATCCTATAGTTAAATTCTAAACACCTATCTTGTTTAATTTTAATCTTATATTAACTACTGAGCATTATTTGGTCTGTTAAACAAATTTACATGTTCAAATGGTTACTGGTTTCCACGTGTTTTCTAATCTTCCAGGGTACTCAATCCTGATCAAGGCACCAAATCAAATATGTAATAATTAATATGCGTCCCTCTTTAGAAGTGGAAAGTCAATAAACCAATACTCTTGTCTCTGCAACACATTTTATTAGCCTTGTGATCGTCCAGTATTTATCTGGTTATATTTGTAATTCTTTACTAAAATTCCTTTTCACGTTGTGTATTTTCTTCAGTTTACTCGCATTATGTTTTCACGCAGGAATAACAATGCAACAGTTCGTTTCTACATTTTATGTCAAGCACTGGATACATAGGTTACAATAAAAGTCATTTTCTACTCTCTCAATCCCAGAACCCCTACATCATATGGCTGTCCTACGACTTAACGGTCTCTCCCAACGAATCTACATAGTATTTGCTCTCTCAAAAGCCCAATTTGTGTCTCCTCTCTAAGAATCTACACGGTGTCTGAAAATC